GAAGGAGTCCTCTCCTCTGGTTTCACACTCCACAGGACCCTGCTGGTAAGGTTCCCAATCATTCTGGGTTCAGGGAATTTACCTGCAGTGTCTACAGGAAGCCTTAAGTCTGGCTGAACTTTCACCCAGAGTCAGGTATCCTGTGGGTGTGGCCTGAGCAGCTAATTTCTAGAGGATGCTGTCCTGGGTCCTCAGGACTGCAGGCCAAGGATGGCTTTGCGCTGTTGGCCCCTCATGCTGAGAGGGACATGTGATCTCAGGCCTTGGGTGTCGGGTAGGGGGACCCTGGCCTGCTGACCTGTTCCCTCTACACCGTGGACATTCCAGGAGGAAGGAGGGGCCTTCGGAGAGACAAGGCCCACAGAACCTGGTTGTCTGTTTGTGTCACTTCCTTCTCTGTGTAATTGGAACTGGGCGCTAGGTGATGTCTAGAAAGAGATGACGTAGGGAACCAGCTGCAGATGTGGAAATTGTGCATGTGCAGTGGCTGGTTCCTTAAATGTGAGCATGACGTCAGTGCTTTGTAACCACAGCCTCTCCCTTGAAGCTCCCAGACTTAGTTTTGGATTGGACACATTGTTTCTTTTTTTTCTTAAAAAAAAAAAAACACCTCTGTGTGTGTATATGTGTGTGTTTGTCTGTCTGTCTATGTATGAGTGCCACTAACTTGCTGTACTCAGTCCCCCCCATCCCCCATCCCCCCTTCTCCCCTTTTGTTTCAGGGTATTGAACTCAGGTTGTCGGCTTGGCAGCAAGGGCCTTTACCACTGAGCCCGGCCGTGTGCTTTCTCAGCAGTCCCCTGGCTGTGGGGAATTACTTGTGCAGGTGGGTGGCCCTGGAGACTGGGTTACTATACAGTGGGGCCAGTGCTGTTGAGGGGACAAGCTCTTTCTGGGACAGTTCGCAGGAGTTACATCATGGGAAGCCAGGAGCCAGTTTGGCTCTAGAGCTGCCCTCCCTCCCTCCCCCCCGCTTCCCCCCCTCCCTCCATCAGGACGGAGGCCCCTTGAGTCCAGTGTGTGTGCTGTTGTTGAACGTCCTTTCACTCCCTGCCTTTACCATGTACACCTCATGAGTGTGTGAAAGCAGCTTGAAAGTCTAGGCTGCTTCTACAGGGGATTGCCAAATCCTCATTGGTTTGCAGCTCCTTTTTTTTGGTTTTTCAAGACAGGGTTTCTCTGTGGCTTTGGAGGCTGTCCTGGAACTAGCTCTGTAGATCAGGCTGGCCTCGAACTCACAGAGATCCACCTGCCTCTGCCTCCCAAGTGCTGGGATTAAAGGCGTGCGCCACCAACGCCCGGCAGTTTGCAGCTCCTTGTTGCTGGTAAAAATAAACCAGTCAGTACATAGATTAAACCGGAAGTTAGTGCAGAGAAGCCTGTGACAACTCTTTTTTTTAAAAAATAATTTATTTTCATTTTATTTGCACCAGTGTTTTGCCTGCATGTATTATCTTGTGTGGGGTGTCAGACCCTGAAGTTACAGACAGTTGTGAGCTGCCTTGTGGGTGCTGGGAATTGAACCTGGGTCCTCTGGAAGAGCAGTCAGTGCTCTTAACCACGGAGCCATCTCTCCACCGTGCAACAGCTCTTAGACGAGACCCTGGTGGAACCTTCCCCAGGAGAGCTGCCTGGCAGGGGAGAGACGTGTGCAGGTTGCCACCCTTGCAGCCACTGCCTGCCCTGATACTCCGTAGGGTATGAGTATGGGTGCACACAGTCTCTGGACTGACTTCTGGAAGTTTCTGTTGCTCATGTTTCACCTTGCCCAGAGTCTTTCCCCCTCACCCTGCACACAGTGTGATTTTGCTAATTTTTAAGGTTTTCATGGTTGCCTGCTGAAAGCCTCCCAGCAGCTCCAGGCATCACCTGCCCCTCCCCTCTGACGGTGTCTGTTTGACATTTATCTAATCCCCTTTAGCATTTCCTCTTTGATCTCTGTAATCCCAGGTGTCTGAGTTGGCGAGGCCTTCACAAGTGTGGCAGACAGAGGCTGTTGGCTGGCAGATTTCCATAGTGTGTTGTGTTAGGTATTCACATGAAGGCCTGAGTTTCCTCATCTTCTCTGCCCACGTGGTGGCTATGTGGGGAGTGGCGATGCAGACCCTGGTCCTTTCCTGAATGCTCTACAAGCTGGGGACATTGGGGACACACTGTGAAATGGAGACCGCGTTCCCCTCGCGAATACTGGATTGTACCTATGGGGGGCCTCGCAGGTTAGCTGTGAGGTTTTCCTGTTTCCTGGTTTTTCCTCTTCCCTCTAAGACTGGTCAGTGTGTGGGACCTGGAGGCAGCAGCCCCTGTCCTCACTCAGCACGTTTATTTGCAAGCACCAAGGAGTGTCCTCACCTTCATAGCGAGAGCAGGCAGACTGTAGGATAACCTCTGCATGGGTGGCCAAGCCCTGTTGCAGTGTTCCCAAGACCCAGAGAGCTAGTACCTTCCACTGTTGACTAAAGTTTTCTTGGCAATGAGTTGGCCATGACAGACCGGTGGGCTTTCTGGGAAGTGCAGCTGGGGACCATCTGGCATCCCTGCGCTGCTGGAGCCCTGGGGAGATTCATTGCAGGAGATTGGTCCCAGCAGTGAAGTCATCTTCCTGGAATCCTCATTGAGCCCCAGGGTGCTGAAGAAATGATGCCCAGAACCCTCTCCAGGCACACACTGACCAGGGCTTACTGCTGCTGTCTGCAGCCTGGGATTTAGAGTGGTGTGTGTGGTTTTGCACAGGGCAGGCAGCAGGGGCCTGGCTCAGCCTGGACACACTGAGGCTTCCTGGGGTGTAGCTCATGCTTTGTGCAGTCAGGCTGGTGGTGTGGAATGTGTCTGACAGTAAGACCAGCCCCACAAAAGATAGGTCTCTTCCCACTGTCTACTGCACAGCCTTTCTCCTCAACTCTGAGTTGTAAGAAAAATTTAATATTTCTAGGTCCTCTAATAGAAGCCCATGGGTCATGAGTCTCCTGACGGGGCCTTTATTGCCATCCTTCTAGTCTACCCTTGTTTCCTGTATCGGTAGGCAGGGTTAAAAACATGTATATTTTATTTATTTTTTGGCAATTTCATACATTTATACAATGTGTCTTGATCCTGTCTACTCCCCAGCAGGATCTTCATATCTTTTCCTTTAAAAAAAAATATTTCCGAGCCGGGTGTTGGTGGTGCACACCTTTAATCCCAGTACTTGGGAGGCAGAGGCAGGAGGATCTCTGTGAGTTCGAGGCCAGCCTGGTCTATAGGGCGAGTTCCAGGACAGGCTCCAAAGCCACAGAGAAACCCTGTCTCGGAAAACCAAACCAACCCAACAAACAAAAAAACCCACAACAAAAATGACTTCCTACTCTGAGCCTGTGTGTGCAAACTGCGTGTTAAGTGCCAGCAGTGGGCAGGAGAGGGTGTTGGATCCACTGGAACTGGAGTTGCTGGTGTGAGCTGCCAAGTGTGCTCTGTGCCAGAGCAGCAGGAGCCCCTAACCGCGGAGCCACCGCTCCAACCCTGCTCCTCCCCCGCTCTTTTTTAATGTAAACCCAGTGAGTCCAGCTAGTGCTGCCTGCTGATCTTGTGGCTTGCTGGTGACTGTGCGTTCATGGGTGCCACAGCCATGTCACATCCAGAAGACAGCATGTCCCGGAGCTCCTCCCATCCCTCAGCTCTCAGAGCCTCCTCTCTGTTCTCTTCCTGGATGGTCTCTGAGCGTGCTGAGGTCGCATAGATGTCCAGTTTAGGCTTAGCGCTCAGCAGTCACTCATTCTCAGCTTTTGATCAGTTACAGGTTGTCATTAACTGCTGCCCACTACAGGAAGGCTTCTCTGGCCAAGGCGGAGAGCATAACCACAGATATTTGGAAGGCAGTTTAACATGTCCATTGGACAAAAGCAACAACAAAACCAAACAAACAGCGAAAGTTCCCCTAGGGCCTATGACTGCGTAAAGCCATGGACCCTGGATCAGATTTACAGTAGGGTGGGTGAATTTCTTCCTGTGGAACAGGCCTTACAGAAGGTGGTTGGTTACCTCTTAATCTTCATGCCACTGTTACCCCATGGGCACATTTTGTCTGACAGCTCACTGCTGGGTAAGAGCTTGGTGACTTTCCTCCCGCAGTGACGTGCATTGACTGTTCAGCACTGCTGTGCCGACACAAGGGAGGGAGTGTTGAGGTAGCTCAGCTCGTCAAAGTGTGCGCGTGCTCAGCAGTAGTGTGTCCTACAAAGTGTGCGCATGCTCAGCAGAAGTGTGTCCTACAAAGTGTGCGCGTGCTCAGCAGTAGTGTGTGCTACAAAGTGTGCGCGTGCTCAGCAGAAGTGTGTCCTACAAAGTGTGGTGTGCTCAGCAGAAGTGTGTCCTACAAAGTGTGGTGTGCTCAGCAGAAGTGTGTGCTACAAAGTGTGGTGTGCTCAGCAGAAGTGTGTGCTACAAAGTGTGCGCATGCTCAGCAGAAGTGCGTGCTACAAAGTGTGCGCATGCTCAGCAGAAGTGCGTGCTACAAAGTGTGGTGTGCTCAGCAGAAGTGTGTCCTACAAAGTGTGGTGTGCTCAGCAGAAGTGTGTGCTACAAAGTGTGGTGTGCTCAGCAGAAGTGCGTGCTACAAAGTGTGGTGTGCTCAGCAGAAGTGCGTGCTACAAAGTGTGCGCATGCTCAGCAGAAGTGCGTGCTACAAAGTGTGGTGTGCTCAGCAGAAGTGTGTCCTACAAAGTGTGGTGTGCTCAGCAGAAGTGTGTGCTACAAAGTGTGCGCGTGCTCCGCAGTAGGGTCTTGCTGTCTAGTTATGGGAGCAGCAGAACAGCAGCTTGGCCACGGGTTATCGGGAGTGATTTTGGTTGGGTTTGCTTGTGGCCATTGTCACTTGGGCTGTGACTGCTTCAAGGCGCTAGGAAGAAGGAGGACTTCAGTTACATGGAAAAATCTGAACTGGCCAAAACTCTCTCCAGAGTAAGGCAGTCACCAGAGGTATTTGTTTGATTGACAGAAGTAGCTCATTTGTATGTTTCTTTAACCAGGTCACCATGGCTGTTACTGGCTCCCTTGCTGTCCCCAACGGTTCCTCAGGTCACCTCTCCACCGTGCTGCCTATGTCCCGAGAGTGTGCACAGGTTCCAGTGGATCAGAAACCTGGTCCCAGAATTCGGGGTCTCCAGTTCTCACGTCAGGGTGCTCTCCTCCCCTGCAGAGTTCTTCGAGCTCTTGAAGGTGAGTTGCTTGAGGGACCAAGAACAGGAATTGGATGTGTGTGTGTGTGTGTGTGTGTGTGTGTGTGTGTGTGTGGTATGTGTATGTGTGTGATGTATGTGTGGTGTGTGTGTGTGTGATGTATGTATGTGTGGTATGTGTATGTGTGTGATGTGTGTGTGTGTGTGTGTGTGTGTGTGTGTGTGTGTGTGTGTGTGTGGTAGGTCCTGACACCCTCTGTTGTAGACATTTCTGGTGCAACTCTGCTTAGCCTGTGGCTCTTGCCTTGAGTTTCACCTTCATCTGTGGTTGTGTTGAGCTCCAAGCAGAAGCTTCTCTGGGTAGCTAGTGTCCCAGAGCAGGGAGGATCGAGGACAGGGCTAGACCCCGAGCCTGGAGGCAGTGAGGACAGGTAGCCCCCAGTCCTTCTCTGCTAAAGGTGGTAGGGTTGTGCATGAGAATCCCTCTTCTGGGTGGCAGCTTCCTCATGGTAGCTGTGCCGCCTGGGAGATCTGAGGTGGGATGTGCCACTTGGTGACCGTCAGCAAGGCCCTTCAGATTAGGAGATCGATCGATCGCACTTGGTGACCGTCAGCAAGGCCCTTCAGATTAGGAGATCGATCGCACTCCCCAGCCTGGAGTCCTGGGAGTCTGTGTGTGGCATGCTCTTCCCTTTCCTGGCAAGTGGTGTCACTTTGTACCGAGGGCTTGCTCTCCACAGAGCTCAGGTTCACATTATACATCTAGTTCACGGTTGAACTGCGTATTGGAATGAGATAATTCAGCACTAATTAATCCTTATGGAATTCTGTCTGAATTCATATTAGCAATGGCTCTGGAATGTGCTGAGGCTGGCGGCCAGCAGGGTCCTGGGAGGTAGCAGGGGATGCACAGTAGGTTCATCTCCTGAGAAAGCTGCTGTCTCTCCTCTCACCCTCTGCCGTGCTGATCCACACTTAGCTGAGTTCTGGCTCATTCTCTTGTGTGTGCCCATGGATAGGGCTGAGCTGAGTTCACGCCTGTGTGTGGGCCAGTGCCCATGGATGGGGTCCCCTTGCTCTCCTCGCACCCTGCTCCTCTGCCCTCTTCCTCGTTGTTGGAGGATGGCCCTGCCATGTGCTCTTGCTCCTGTCTTCCCTGACTTGGAGAAGCAGGTTATCCCAGGTGGTGAGAGACTGACAGACTCTTGTGGTCGGGAGGCCAGGCCATGCTTTGCACCTGCCCGCACTGGTGAAGCTCAAGAACCCAGGAAGCAGCAGGGGCCCTGCATCTGGGCTGAGAAGAGGCGAGGCCTTCTTACCTTGTCACTGGACAGGAGGGCAGACTGCAGGGCTGGCAGGCCTTCATCACCTGACATGTGTGAGATACCCTGGCCCTCTGCTCTTCGGCTGGTCCTGTTCCTTCTGCATGCAGGGTTGTCTGGGGCCCTGCCTGTAGTGAGCAGCCAGGTACACTGGTGGTGGGTGGGGGCTGGGCTGACTCTGCCTGCTGCTTTTTTCTCTCCAACCTTGATTTTAGTAGATAACAAAACAAAGGAAGTGGCAAGCTGAGGATGTTTGTTTTTTCCTCCTGTCTAAGCGTTTCCCAGGGGTGTGTTCACGCATCTGTTAGTCGATGTGTGCAGCTTCCTGCGTGGACAATACCTGCTGGGGTGACATCTCTTCTTAAGTTGGAGGCCTGTGTTGTGCTTTGTGGCTCCCCCCTAATCATGCTCTCTTGTGTCTTGTGTGCTTTGGAGGTGATGTTTGTGTTTTTGGAGACAGAGTCTCATGTTGTCCCGCTGGCCCCTAACTGGATATGAACTCCTGCTCGATCTTCTTGTCTAGTCTCCCAAGAGTCGGGATGACAGGTGTGACAGGTGTGCTCGGCCACGCTCTGGGGTGTGGCTGCCTAGGGCTTTGGAGATGGCTCTTTATTCTGCTGGGCTGGAGCAGGGCCTAGGGAGAGGACACTGGTTGTTGACACAGCTTGGAATGTGTTGTCCTTTCATGTGTGCTTACTGTGTGTGCACGCGTGCACCCATGCTTGGTTGCAGACAGCCAGACTCGAGAAGGTGGCGAGTGCAGCTGCATACACACTCCCCTTCCTGCCAGTCCCAGAGGTGTGGGAAGGAGGGCCTAGACACACACGTGCACGAGTGCTGAGCTGTGTGCCTGTGGGGTTTTCCGATGAGGTTGTGTATTCTGTTTTAGCAGCACATTGTGGGGTGAGTCTCATCAGGGTACACAGGTCTCCTTCACCCCGGGGTTGGAGAATGTGCTCAGTGGGTAAGGCGCTTACCTCACAGTCAAGAATTGTGAGTTCCACCCCCAGCACTACAGGAAAGGGCTGGGCGAGGTGGTGTGCACTCTTAATGCCAGGGCTGGGGTGCAGAGGAGGCTGGACTCCCAGGGCTTGCTGGCCAGTCAGCCTGCCTGCCTGCTTGGTGAGTCCAGGCTAGTGACACCTGTCTCAAAAATAAACATATGGTGGACCGACCCAAGATGGGTCACTTACATGTGACCGGCGCTTACACAGATATGCATGTACACACACACACACACACACACACACACACTCCTTCACTCCTTAGTGGTTGTGTTGCATTTTGTTGTCCCATTAGACCAGGCCTTTCTTTGCACACTGAATATGTGAATTAGGGTTGTGGGTCCTCTTTTGGGAAGTTGCTGTGTCTGTGCCGGGCTACTTGGAGTGTCATTAGTGCTGAGGATGTAGAGCCTTTCAGCTTAGAGTATGATTTGCTTCCAAGTGGACTACAAAAACAATGACTGAATATAAGGTAGAATTGTTTCTCGTCTTCCAGGGGCAGATAAAAACAGCCAAGAGGCGAGTTGTGATGGCATCCCTCTACCTGGGGACAGGACCTTTGGAGCAGGAACTGGTAAGGCTTAGGGGCAGGTGGTCCCAGGAGCAGGTTGAGCCAGCTCCAGTGTTACAGTTGGCTCTAACTGCCTTTCTGGCTTCTGCATGAGGATGGTGTGGGAGACGCAGTCATGTGCTGGCCAGCAGCCTCCCAACACTTCCAGGGCTGTCTGGGCTGCGCTACCTGACCACAACCCAGAGGCCGTATCAGGTCCATGGCCTGCAGTTGTGTGGCCTGAAGAGGTGGGAAGAAAACAAAGAATGTGAGACATGTAAGGTGCATGACATCTACCTGACAGTGCAGTTGTAGGGGGCGTGGCCACGCTCATCCTCTCCCGTGACAGTGCAGTTGTAGGGGGCGTGGCCACGCTCATCCTCTCCTGTGACAGTTACACAGCTGAGTTGCCCTGGCATAGTCCATCTCCGTCTCACAAAACCTAAAATATTTCCTCTGAGGTCCTTGTCAGAAAACATTTTCAGATTGTGTCCTAGGCAGATGAGCCCAAATGCAGTTAGTTCTGGCTGGCTGGCTGCTGGCTGTATCAAGGCTGGCAGTGGATGCCAGGGCTTGGCCAACCTTATTCTACCTGGACTTTGGGGTGTTCCATAAGTGTTGGCGTGGCACCATAGCTGTCATGTGTTCCTTTGATACGTTTCCTTCTAGGTGGATTGTCTGGAAAGTTCTCTGGAGAAGTCACTACAGTCGAAGTTTCCTTCCGACCTCAAGGTCTCTATCCTCCTGGACTTCACCCGGGGCTCAAGAGGTGAGTGCTGCCCGCTTCCTCTCTGCTCGCTGGCTCAGCATCGTCCTCTAACAGGCCTTCCTTCACAGGGCCGCCTGCTGATGGCAGTCACGACTCCTTGTGCAGCAGGCTCTGCGTGTAGTCTAGCTGGAACAGTCAGGGTGGGAAGGGCTGTCCCAAGTCTGCGGCTCCTCGGGGTCTGTCTCCTCCCTGCTTCCTCTGGCCTTGCTTTGTTTTAAGGCTTTGTGTGGGGGTCCCTGGTGGTTGAGGCCAAGTTCCCGGGACACCTGCTTCTTGGAAGGCAGTCTGATTCCTTCTGTGACATGCAAGCCAAAGTTTCTAAGCAAGTGCTGTAGATCTAGGTAACGTCATGTCTGGCTCAGGCTGGCTCGTTTTCTTGTGGAGCTGGGGTGAGAGATGAGGGCACTGAGTGGGAGTGGCTTTCCGGGGGCATTGGTAAGACGCATCAGGAGGAGGGGGCGCCCTGGAGCATGGTGCATCCTGTTCGTAAGCAGCACCTTTTGATGTGGCTTGTTACATGGCGCCCCAGGTAAAGTGAGGCTCCCAGGGAGTTGGTCTGTCTGACAGTAAAGTGAGGCTCCCAGGGAGTTGGTCTGTCTGGCAGTCAGGACATCTGTCTTGCCTGGTGGGAAAAGTTACAGGTGTTCCGTCTGCCGCTCACACACAGGTAGGAAGAACTCCCGCACCATGCTGCTCCCACTCCTGCAGAGGTTCCCAGAGCATGTGCGTGTTTCCCTCTTCCACACGCCAAACCTCCGAGGGCTCCTCAGACTCCTCATCCCAGAGCGCTTCAACGAGACCATCGGGCTCCAGCACATCAAGGTGTACCTCTGTGACAACAACGTCATCTTGAGTGGGTGAGCATTGCTGTTCTCTAGCACACGGCCAGTCTGCCCCCACCTCCTTAGAGAAGGGGCTGTGCAGGTTGTGGGTGGCCCCGTGTCACTGTTTGTCAAGGTGACTCTGTCACTGTGCTCCTCACTTCATGTGAGGACAACTGCCAGGCAGAGCCCAGGAAGCACAAACTGAGCATGATGGAAGCCTGGGTCTGGGCTGTGACATCACTGACAGTCAGCTGTGTGGGCTCCAGTACCTGCTCCCCACCTGGGTTGGCTCCTTTTGTGTGGCGCCATCTCTGTCCTGTTCCTCAGTGTCAGCCTGCTGGTGTCCTACCCATAGGTTGCTCTGATTTGATGACATCATGAGATTGTCATTCGTCACCTACTCACCCCAAGATCTGGGTCACTGGGCCGCACACACTCTTGGCTGCGACCTCATCTGATTCTTCCTCTCCATAGCGCAAACTTGAGTGACTCCTACTTCACCAACCGCCAGGACCGCTACGTGTTCTTACAAGACTGTGCTGAGGTCGCAGACTTCTTCACGGAGCTGGTGGACGCCGTGGGGGATGTGTCTCTGCAGCTGCAGGGGGATGACACGGTGGACGTTGTGGATGGGATGGTGCACCCCTACAAAGGTAGGACAGCCGTACGACTGCTGTGGGCTGAAGGCCAGGGGAACGCCTTCCTCTGTGGTCCTTGCCTTAGCTGCAGGCAGCGGTGTCGGGATTTCAGCATTTGTTTCCTGCACCGTGTTTGTATTCTTTGCCGCCACTGTCCCAGCCCCCAAATAACACACCAGACTCTATATTAATTATGAAACTGTTGGCCGTTTGCTATGGATTTTTTAATGGCTAGCTCTGATTTAATTACTAACCCATAATTACTAATATATATTTCTATAAGGTCTTATCTTACTGAGGACGCCAGTCTTGCGCCCTCTCCTCCTGGGATCCCATGGCGACTCTCTACCCTTGACTACATTTCCCAGAATCCTTTTAGTCCCACCTATCTTGCTTCCCTATTGGCTGACAGTGCTTTATTTATCAACCAGTAGGACAACATATACACAGAAGGACTTCCCCCATTGGTTTCCAAAGCCAGAGAAATGTGATTGACTGGCTCTTACTTGCTTACCTGCCCTGTGAGCAAGAGCCAGCTTACCTGGGAAGGTGGAGTTTGGATCAGGTCCTGTACCTTGATCAGGTGGCTCAGGAGACTGCCTTCCCTTTCTTACGGGAAGCAGCCTGCCTAGTGACCACCCTCCCACCTCGGCCTCTTCCCCAAATCTGTCATAGCAGCCCCGTCAAGGTCTGTGGCCTCCTCCCTGGAAAGTGGCATGGGAGAGCCAAGTTCTGCTGTAGGCAAGCCCTTGCGCAGCATTTCTGGGCACTTGAATTCCCGTGATTCCTGTGGCTGTGGCTTCTCCTGGCCTTACAGGACTGCTGCTGAGTGTGCAGGAGACTCCACAGCTTAGGGACAACTTAGGGAAGGGGTGAAACTTGGCCCTTGTGAGGAGAAAAGCTCCTCATGTCACGTGGTTTTCCTGATGACAGCCCTGCCTGCCGCCGGGGAGCTGTGACTGCCCAGCTAGGCTGTGGTGTGCTGATGGCCTTGTCCGCCCCAGGGACTGTTTAGTTGTTATCACTGTGCAGTGCAGTGTACCAGTTAAACATTTTGTGGAAAATGTCTTTCCCTCTATGTATCCTTGGATGAGTCTTTTGGTACTCAAGCCTAAACTATATATTATCTGGGCCTTGAAGAAATGCTTATGCCCTGAACTACTCTGCTGGGCCAGGCACAGTTAGTGGGGAATGGCTGTGTTTACGGACAGCTGAGATGTGTCATGTTTAGGACAGGGACAGAGACATTTTGCTCAGTTTTTGGCTGCTGCTCCCTCTGGCAGGATGGATTCCTGTACAGTTGGTTTCTCCACTGTTCCTGGTCAAGCCCTGAGAGGCACCCAACTGTCTGTCCCTGTTCTCGGTGCAGACTGTGCGCAAAGTGTGGGAGACCCAGCATATAGCCCTGCTCTGTGCTGGTTTCTTGTTGGCCTCCTGCTCTGGACTCTGTTGACTTATCTTCCTGACACTGCAGCGTCCCTGTGCTCTCCCCTAGACGTCAGGAGCAGTCAGTTTCCAGGCTTTCCTCCAGGGACGGCACCTGGAGAGTGACTGCAGAGTCGTGTGTCATTTGTGTCCCATCCACAGGGGAAGGTGTTCTTGCAGGCCCAGAGCCTGCCCTGAGGCTTTTGTTCGTGGTGACCGGGCTTTCCTGCCCTGTGCCGTCTGGGCTGGGCTGCATGTGCTGTCTGCCCTTTATGTGAACTTACGTCCTTTCTCTTAACTCATCTTCACGCTCTTTTTTGATTGCCTCTGGGCAGGGTCTCGTCCTCAGGTTGGCCTTGACCTTTGCCTCCCATGCTAGTGTTGTAATCAGGTGCTACCACACCTGTCCCCGGCACATCTTTTACTCAAATGATCTTTCTTGTTGAAGTATACACAGTATGCATACCAGATAGCCACCGCAGAGGTGCAACTCAGGGCCTTCCCAGAGCTACCTAACCCCCAGCTGTTATCCCCAAGGCACCAAAGTCCTGACATTTGCCACCCCATGTTCCTCTCCAAGGTTTATAGCGGAGTTACCTGTGTCATGCCCTACCACGCCTCCTCGCATGGGTCCTGTGGGCCCTGTTGACTGCTACCGTCTGCGCTCCTTGAGCTTAGTCTGTGCTCGCCCAGCACCAACAACTTGTGCCTCGGGCGGCAGAGTCTGGATGCATGGGGTTTTACATGGTCGGATGTAGTCAGGATGCCCTTGAACTCGGGAGGCCTGATCCTCCCGCCTCCGTCTCCCGAGTGCAGGGACCATAGGGGTGCACCGCCACTTGTGGCTCTCCATGTCCTTTGTGCTCTTTGTTCCGTCTGCTGTAGGTGACCGGGCTGCATACTGCAGAGCAGCTAATAAGCGGGTCATGGACGTGATCCACTCAGCCAGGACCCGACAACAGTTGCTGCACGCACAGACCTTCCACAGCGACTCTCTGCTGAGTCAGGAAGAGGCTGCAGCTGCTGGGGACCGGAGACCAGCGCCTGACACCTGGATTTACCCCCTCATCCAGATGAAGCCCTTTGAGATTCAGATAGATGAGATAGTCACCGAGACCCTGCTGACGGAAGCTGAGCGAGGAGCTAAGGTCTTCCTCACCACTGGCTACTTCAACCTGACCCAGGCCTACATGGACCTGGTGCTAGGCACTCGAGCCGAGTATCAGATCCTCCTGGCCTCCCCAGAGGTCAATGGCTTCTTTGGAGCTAAGGGAGTGGCTGGCGCCATCCCAGCTGCCTATGTGCACATTGAGCGGCAGTTCTACAGCGAAGTGTGTAGCCTGGGGCAGCAGGATCGGGTCCAGCTTCAGGAATACTGGCGCGCGGGATGGACCTTTCATGCCAAAGGTACGTGGGGGCTGGCCAGAATCCCCGCCGTGGGCTCCTCCCCACTGTTGTTCACCCAGATCTGGGGAGTTGGTGAATATATGTGGGAGAGAGCTCTGCAGTGTGCTGTCTGTCTCTACAGCAGCCCTGCAGGCACTGCCCGCGTGTCCCAGGTCCTGGAGCCGTGAGTCTGTCCTCTGTAGGGTTACTTGGACAGAATACTTCCCCTTTACTTTAGAAATGGAAACCACTTGGTGAATATTGTATTTTTTTCCTTCTGGTCTGGGGACCAACCCCAAGGTTTTTAGTTTGTTTTGTTTTGTTTTTTTGAGACAGGGTTTCTCTGTATGGTTTTGGAGGCTGTCCTGGAACTCACTCTGTAGACCAGGCTGGCCTCGAACTCACAGAGATCCACCTGCCTCTGCCTACCGAGTGCTGGGATTAAAGGTGTGCGTCACCACTGCCCGGCTACCAACGCCAAGGTTTTCACTTGTGCTGCTGACCTAAATCCAGTCCTTAGTCCTTTGGTAACTGCTGAGGAACATACATGCTCATGTACTGTGCTGAACACGCTGAGGAACATACATGCTCATGTACTGTACTTATTGAACACGCTGAGGAACATACATGCTCATGTACTGTACTTACTGAACACGCTGAGGAACATACGTGCTCATGTACTGTACTTACTGAACACGCTGAGGAACATACATGCTCGTGTACTGCACTTACTGAACACGCTGAGGAACATACGTGCTCATGTACTGTACTGAACACGCTGAGGAACATACGTGCTCATGTACTGTACTTACTGAACACGCTGAGGAACATACATGCTCGTGTACTGCACTTACTGAACACGCTGAGGAACATACGTGCTCATGTACTGCACTTACTGAACACGCTGAGGAACATACATGCTCGTGTACTGCACTTACTGAACACGCTGAGGAACATACATGCTCGTGTACTGCACTTACTGAACACGCTGAGGAACATACATGCTCATGTACTGTGCTGAACACGCTGAGGAACATACGTGCTCATGTACTGTACTTACTGAACACGCTGAGGAACATACATGCTCGTGTGCTGTACTGAAAGGAGCATGAGGAAACATGGAAGGCTTGCCGTGTCTGCGGGGCGCACATCTGCCGAGTAGAGGACTCGCTGCAGGCTGCTGATTTGTCGGGAATAGCCCAGTTTTCCTTTTGATAGATTCTCGTCCTGTTTGCCAGTCACTTGCGAAGATGGAAGCTGCATGCTCCGTGTATAGTCCTTACATAGTGGGGTCATGTGAACCGTGGCTCTTTTCCTTGTGGTTCTGAGGGGGAGGCCCTGGGCCTTGTCCCCGCTGGGCAGGTGTGCATCGCCGAGCTGTGCTGTGCTCCCAGCCGGTGCCCTGGACCATCCACGTGCAGCCCTGTGGTAGAGATGGTTATAGTCTGCACTGGGTATTTATTCATTGTGAGCCAAGGAGAGCAGCCCAGGAGAGGCAGGTCGCAGGGTACCTCTCTGAGGGCTAGATGAAACGTTGAAAACCTTGAACCTGGCAACAGTTTGCTCTGTGGCCTGTTGCTGAGGGTTCCTGCTTCAGGATGACATTACCCGAGGAGTTCACCTTACTCAGTGCACGCCCTGTATCTGCAGGGCTGTGGGCAGTATCTGGGTGTGCTGGGTTCTTGTGGCTTCTCCAGGTAGCCTGGAGGGCTGCTGTGCCTGGCCTCACCACCAGGTCATCTTTGACTCCTCAGGGGGAACCTTTCATTCTCCGATCTGGCGCTTTCAGTGGGGATACTCGTTTTTGTTTTTGTTGTTTCTTATTTGAGATAGGGTCACTGTGTATCCCTGGCTGGTTTGAGATAGAGTCTCTGTGTCGCCCTGGCTGGTTTGTAGCTCTTTACATAGACCAGGCGATGCTGGGAATCAACACTCCACCTGCCTCTGCCTCCTGAGTACTGGAATTGAAGGCGGCAGGCACTTCCATGCCTGCCTAGTGAGGTATAGTGTAGGGATGTTTTAAGAAAGAGTGATCTGGGAAGTGGTGGCACACTTCTTTAATTCCAGAACTCAGGAGGTAGAGACAGGTGGATCTCTGTGAGTTCAAAGCCAGCCTGGTTTACAGAGCAAGTGCCAGGATAGGCTCCAAAGCTACACAGAGAAACCCTGACTTGAAAAAAACCAAAAAAAGAAAAAGAAAAGAAAAAAGGAAAAGAAAGAAGTGCCTTGCTGTCCTCCAGCTGAATTCCGTTATCTATATTGTTATTTTTTAAAAACATTTATTTGAGCTGTGTAGTGGTTGTATACACCTTTAATTTTAGTACTCAGGAGGTAGAGGCAGGCAGATCTATGAGTTCGAGGCTAGCCTGGTCTCACAGAATGAGTTCCAGACAGCCAGGGCTACACAGAGATACCCTGTGTTAAAAAACAACAACAACAAAGAAGCCCACCGCATTTGTGTGTGTGTGTGTGTGTGTGTGTGTGTGTGTGTGTGTGTGTGTGTGTGTGGTATGCACATGCTGTGGCCTGCTTATACAGGTTAGAAGACAACCTGGGAGGGAGGTCTCTCCTACCAAGTGGATTCCATCAATCACAATCAGGTTTTCAGGCTTGGTGGCAGGCCTCTTTACCTGCTGACCCATCTATCTCACCGTGCTTTGTTTCGTTTTGTTTGTGTTTTGTGATGCCGAGATGAGTTCCTGTGCCTCGTGCCTGTGTCAGAACAGATACTCTACCCTGTCTGAGCTTCACCTCAGCCCCAAACAGGACATTGTACCCCAAAGACTGGCTCCTCACCCTAGGATCTGCTCAGCGGGGGCAGTGAGGTGGCTGGTGTGTGCCGCTGAGCCCGCGTGTACACGGGAGCCCTCATTCCTGCCCCGGCAGGCAGCGCTGTTTGTGTGGGAGGGAAGCTCATGTGGGCTAAGTGAAGCTTGTGGTCAGGTGTCTCTGGCAGGTAGAGCTGGCCGTAGGAGAGTATGGAAGTCTTTTCAGGTTGGCCCAGTTCCCTCTGGGATGACAGCAGAGTCCAAGGGTGGAGACACAGGGAGAGCTGCCAGAGCTGGAGACACTCAGTAACTCCAGGCCCCTGCACAGCCAGAGGCAGGCCAGACAGCACGCTCCTCAGACAGTAGCCTCAGGCCTCGCCCAGCCTTGCAGCTGGAGAGACTCTAGTCTCGGGTCCCACTCTCCTGCGGGTGTCCCCAAGCCTCCTTGATAAGCTTTCGTGTGTGGTGACTCCCCAGTTACACCCAACTGGCTTTTCCTGTGTGTTTCGCCTCGCCTTTTCCCGGACTGTGTGCTCTTTCCCCGGCTCCCTCCCGCCCTCCCGCCTGACCTGATGCAGGTGGGGCCCTGCCATCTGTGGAGGGGGGCAGGGAGAGCCTTATATCTGGACCCTAGAATTGTGTGTGTATGTGTGTGTGTGCGCGCGCGCGTGCGTGCGCACGCGTGTGAATGTGCTCGTGTTTGTGCATGTAAAACGGGAAGGAGAAGGAGATGCTGGCGCTAAAAGCTTGGTTCTGAAATAGGGTCTTACGTGGCCTGAGCTCCTTGTTGTGTAACTGAGGGTGACCTTGAACTTTGGCCCTCCTGAGTGTTGGGATTACAACCAGCTTGAGGCAGTTTCTTCTGAGGAGGGGCCTGCCAGGAACCAGAGGTGAAAGGCAGCCCTCTTCCCTGCTTAGTGGCTGGGGTCTGTGGTGGTCGTAGCTTTTCTGGCACACCTGAAGACAGCTCCAGTGGCCTCATCAGCATGGGATGAATAAGCAGTCCATGCTGGATACAGGACGTGGGCCTGTTTGTTTGTGTCTATTTTGGGCTTCTGGAAAACTCTTGCTGATTACCATGTAGTTGGTAAAAGGGTTCTCTTGGGCTATAGACTTGGGCTGATCTCAACTATTCCTGCTCCCAGAGTGCTTCAGAGGAAGGACAGCCTGAGAAGCTAAGACACCGCTTTCTAGATCCATCTGGGTCCATGTGCCTCAAGAGATACCACTTAGCAGCATAGCTTTCCCCAGGGATCAGGCACAGCATGCGAGGAGGACCCTGTTGGACAAGCTAGTGGCCCTGTGACTTGCTGCTGCCACCAGAGTGAGGGGTCCATGTTCCAAGCGTGAAGGTGAGAGGCTTGGGTAGGAGCTCAGTCCTAGTGCTTGCCTATGTCCATATGCGCCAGCGCCTCCCTCAGCTCTGGAGAGCCTCCCCGCCCAGCTGGAAGATGGTTTCTACTGAATGTATCCTGCTCTCCCGCCATCAGGAAGCTAAACGCTTGTGAACTCCTAGATGCGCTGTCCTAAGTTGTCTATATGCAGGTTTGTTGCTGGACCTGTAGCCTTGAAGGGCAGCCCTGCCCTTGACTGGAGAGAGTCCTTGGGAGCAGGCAGTGGGCACAGGCTGTGCTTTAGACTGGTGGTTTGCCGGTCTCTGTGGCTTGGCCTGTAGGTGTAGCGGGAAGGGTTCTAGGGGCCGGGGTAGAGTCTGTTGGAGTGTGGGAAGGGGGTTAGGGCACAGTTGTTAGCCCAGTGAAGTCTGCTGAGCTCCAGCATGCTTGCCTTGGTGCCAGAGGAACAGTGTGTGAGGCGCGAGTGTGGTGATCTCTGTCTCAGCTCTGTCCTGCGGTGTGAAGCCTGTGATGTTGTTGAGGCCATCATTTTGACTTCTTGCCCTGAGCAAGACACGTGTCAGCCTTGTCCCTGCTCTGTCCCAAGAGCCGATCCTTGTCAGGCAGGGGCCACACCCTTGTTCACTCTGCCCTAAGACGCCCTCGCCCATCTGTTTGCCAGCCACGGGCTCAGCGGGGCACGTCTGGGGGATCAGAAAGGGCTGTGCATAAGGACTTGTTTCTTTTGGATGAAGTGCTCTAAGTGAACAGAACCCTCTGTGTGGTCAAGGATCTTTGGATTAAGAGACTTTTGACTGCGCAGATGGAGTCTGTTAATGACTGACAGGATGCCATTATTTTTATTGTCTTCCCGACAGGCTGGTTGGCATATTGCCTGAAGGTGAGCAGATGAGGCAGCCTCACCCTGTTCACCTGGGCTCCATGTGGCGTGGCTGTCACTTCAGGGTAGTGGGCGCTGTGTGGTGCACACGGCCATCTCAGGCCTGCGACCTCAGGAGTATCTCTATCCCTCTGACTCCAGAGTAACTGGTGTCCCCTTGGGAGAGCCGGGCTGTGATGCTTCTGTCTCCTGGTTTCTGCAGGGGTCTGACACTCCGGAGGGTCTCGAAGAAGATGGTGGGGCTGTGGGAGGAAGTTGACCTTTCTGGAGTAGTCCTCAGAGAAGACCCTGGCCTACATGTGCAGAGAGCGTCTGGTGTCCTTTAGTGCCTTGCCTGCATGATGTATGTTTGCCCCCAGAGGTCAGAACTGGAATTGCAGCTGTGAGCCACTGTGTGGATCCTGGGATCCAAACCCAAGTCTTCTCCTCTGAGCCATCTCTCCAGCCCAAGCCCCTGCCTTTCTTTAAACGTTTCCTCTAACCTACGTAGTTGGAGGCTGTCACCACTCTCTAGTAACCTGGCATCCATCTGCCTTGCATGCATCATGGAAAGCACTGGGCATGCTCACTGGGTTCATGGCGCCTGCTCTCCCGGGCTTCTGTCTGACAGGAAGCACATAGCAGAGGGACCTGTGCAGATTGTGGCAGGCAGAAGCCCTAAGCAGACAGATCAAGTCAGGGAGGCCTCTCTGTGCTGATGCCCGAGTGTAGGGCACATCATGCCTTTCCAGGGCATATGGGACAGAGAAGCCGCCAGGCTTCTGCTTGTATGGCCGAATGCAGTGGGAGTGTGATCTGTGCCCGGGCACAGAGTGACCAGGGCCCGTGGGAAAGTGCTGGAGCCTCTGCTGTGTAAGGCGCAGGGTGCCCAGAAAGAGACAAATCTGTGGTCTCGTCTTGTTGTTTTCACACTGGGTCTCATTCTGTAGCCGAGACTGGCCTTGAACTCATGAGAACCCTTCCCTAGCCTTCCATGCTAGGACTGCAGGTGTGAGCCTTGTCTCCTCTCAGGAAGGTGGCTTCTTTCTTAGAGACCAGAGTCAGGAGACAGCAGGGCACTTGGTCTCTGAGTCCAGGCCACCCTCCAGTGTCCCAGGCCTGGCAGTGGCTGCAGTGACCCCCTGTTCTGTGCTATCGCTGGCACTTAGGGCTACTGGGTCTCCCTTGGCCGCAAACCATCCTATCCCTAATCCACTCCCCAAGCACTTTTTCCTTCCCCAAGCTGCTGGTTCCTGGAATCATGCAGCTGTTGGGCACAAAGTTCAGGCTCTGGGATGAGGAATTGGGGTTTGATGGCCAGTTTATAGCCCTGTGCTGGAAATGGACCTCCCCCCCCCCACAGAATCTCCCCCGTGTGTGCCGTGGAGGTGCATCTGAGGGAGTCTGTGGGCACAGCTGGGGTCCAGTCCTGGGAGGGGGAGGGGGAGGAGTCCCCAGGCCACCGGCCAGTGGTCAAGGCTCTTGACTTGGAGTCTGAAGGGGACCCTCGCAGGCTGCCCCACGGGCTTCTGTGGTCTCGCTTTCCTTTGGGTTACCAGCTCACAAGTGAAGACACAGAGACTCATTAGTGAGTAGCTTGGGCTTTTTTCCCTAACTAGCTCTTACAACTTCTGTCCATATGTCCGGTGTGTTCCATTGTCATCTCCCGCGTGCGTCGATTACCTCCTCCTCTCTTTGTCCTGTCTCTCTCCTGCCTGGTTGTTGGCTGTTCAGATTATTACACCACTCACAGCAACATGTCCTCACGGTGCACAGCCCCTCCTCGGCAGGCTCCCCTGGGACTCAGCCCCAGTGACCACTGCCGTGACATAGGCAATGTCTCTCGGCAGTGCTTCATCTGTCTCTTTGGGTTTAACAAAGGGTGTGTGTGTGTGTGTGTGTGTGTGTGTGTGTGTGTGTGTGTAGGAAAAGTGGAGGGGCAGGCATTGTCTTGTTGTACAGCCTATGCTGTCCTTGAACTCTTGATGTAGTGAGTGAGGGTTCCTATGGTCCCCATTTTACTGGGGTTGTAGGTCTGGCCCTGGCTAGCCTGGGACTTGAGTCTGTAGCTCAGAGTGATGCCGGACATGGGTTACAGGTGTGCTCCACTATACCCTGCTGCTTATCAACTGGTTTTTGAGACAGGCTTTTTGTGTCTCAGGCTGGCCTGCGACTTGATCTTCAGGCTTTGGCAAGGTGACTCAGGCAGAGACGCCGTGCAAGCTTGATGGCCTGAGTTCTATCCTCAGAGCCACATAAGGTGAAGAGAGGGGACAAATTCCATAAAGTTGTTCTCTGACCTCCATGCCTGGGCTCTGGCATGTGCCCCCCCATCTCACACGATATTGTAGCCAGGATGACTTTGGTGTTCTGATCTTTCTGTCTCTGCCTCCCGAGTGCTGGACTTGCGCCGTATGCTGAGGTCAAACACAGAGCTCCCTTATGCACACTAGGCCAGCATCTCCAGCCCTGACTTCATTTTCATTTTGATGAGGAACAACACAGGGGCACTAGAGAGGGCATTCTCAGGCCTCAGGCCACAAGGGTCTCTGGGCTCTGAGTCCAGGTCACAGGTTACTGTGTTTGTACCAGTGATCCAGTGACAGTGACATGTTTTGTGGTGAGTACCAACCTCAGTGGCCTCCTGTCTCTAGCTGTCCCTGGTACTCAGTGCTACATAATTTGTCTAGGAATAGCCCTGCCCCAGCCCACGCCCCAAACACCTTTTCCTTCCCAGACTGCAGTCTTGCTGGTTCCTGGAATGGTGGAGACATTCGTGCTAAAGGTCAGGCTCTGGGGAGAGGACCTGGGGCCTGACAGGGTTAGAAATATCTGTGCAGAGCTCCCACCTGAGCCGGCGGTGGTGCGCACGCCTTTGACCCCAGCACTCAGGAGGCAGAGGCAGGTGGATCCCTGTGAGTTCGAGGCCAGCCTGGTCTACAGAGGGAGTTCCAGGACAGCCTCCAAAACAATACAGAGAAACCCTGTCTCGGACCCCCCCCCCAAAAAAAAGAGGGCCCACCTGAAAGTCAGCCTAGGAGCTGGGGCTTGGGGGCAGTAGCCCGAAGGTCACTCTGGGTTTCTGGGGAGGCAGTGTAGGGAGCAACAGTCACACCTCCCCCACAGGGTCATAGTGCCTCAGGGTTTGGTGCTTAGGGAGTAGGTGCTACGAGAGAATCTTACTCTTTATGAATGGGAATCAGCTGGCCTTATGAGGTGACTTGGAGCATGATCAGGAGTGAGGTTTTGGCAAGTTGTCAGGACAGAGCCAGGGTGGGAGCAGTAGCGCTGGGCCCCACAGGGCTGTGGCAGGGCCCTCAGTCTTGTCTTCTGGGGAAGCTGAAGTGGACCAAAGGGTGTGAAAAACCAGAGGTGTGGGAGAGCAGGCCTGGCCTGGATGGCTCCTGGGTAGGGTGAGCCCTCCGGAGCAGAGCTGTCAGCATGGGGGTGGGGAGGGACACCTGCCTCCTCTGTGGCTTGTGACCTGCCTGTCTGCGTAGTAGAGACCTGCTGTAGAGCAGGCAGGTGGCTTTGATGTGGGCTGCAGCCAGGGCAGGGCACCGGTCACAGCAGTAAGCGTAGCTTTTCTTTGTCAGCTCTTACCCAAGGCGTTCTTGGAAACCGCTCTGCGTGGGCATTAGGAAACTATGCTCTGGTGCGGCAGTGTGTGTTACATGTAGGCTGGGCGCCCATGATGCTCATCATGTCTGTGGGCGAGGGTCCTGCTGATGGACGGAGGGAGGGGCTGGTAGGAGGCCACAGGAAGCTGGCCTAATGCAGGCCTGTGGAGGCCTGTGAGTGCCTGGTCCCCCTGGAGCCGACTGGGTTTCCCCAGATAGGCTTTGGGCTAGTATGGGGACCGGTAGAGACCAGGCTAGCCCTGGGGAGGACTCAGGACTCTTGTCTGTGGCTGGGCCGTGAAACTCTGGACCTTGAGAGAATGAAAGGGTGCAGGATGGGTCCTGCCATGGACACACCTAGTGGCACTTAAGATTCTGCTAGAAGCCATGACCTTCCGTACAGAAGTGTTCCCAATGTGTAGTGTGGCCTTGCAGCCTTGTGGCACAGTGCCCTGTGGTGTCCACTTATGCAGCGCTTCTCTATGGGACACAGGTGGTAATTAGAGGGTGGATAGCCTGCTGGGTGTCCTGAGGCCTGAATGTAGGCAGACCTGCTCCTACCAAATGCCTTGCACCACAGTGACAGCCACCTCTGCTGGTTAGATAGGCAGAGCCCACCCGCCTGTTCATTCAGGGCTCCCAGGAGGGATGGCAGGCTCTGGCCAGCAGCAGGCCGTGGGAAGACTTGGGACTAGTGGCCTCCCTGGAGAGAGAGGCCCAGGGAGCAGTTAGGGGCAGGGTTGTCAGAGAAGACCTCAGGGAAAGCATTGATTGTCCAAGCTCCCTTGAAGGAGCCAGCAGCACCCTGCTAGGGACGGGAGCCACAGCAGACATCGCAGAGAGCAGAGTGGCCTTGCACTCTGCAGTCTGGAGCACCTGGTGGGCGTAGGCAGGCGGGCGAACCTGGTGCAGCGGCTCCCTGGTGCTCGCCCACCCCTGTCGGCTGCTTTCCTCCTATATTTGAGACAGTGTGTGGGAAAGACCTGGCAGATGCTGAGCTCACTTCCTGTCTGCACGTTTCCTTTTCCTGCAGGCCTCTGGCTGTACCTGGCAGGGAGCAGCCTGCCCTGCCTCACGCTGATTGGCTCTCCTAATTTTGGGTACAGGTCAGTTCACCGGGACCTGGAAGCCCAGATTGCCATCGTGACGGAGAGCCGAGCCCTGCAGCAGCAGCTCCATCAGGTGTGTTGAAGTGGCAGGGTTCTTGGGTACGTGGAGCAGGGTACCGAGGGCGGGCGCCGTGTCGTCCTCACAGGCATCTCCTGCTTTTGTCAGTGTAGACAGTGAGTGAGAGTCAGCAGAGATAGAGACCCTGGGTCCCTGAGTCTAAGAGGAACCTTGGCAGGCCAGGCAGGCCCTGGTCGGTCACACTGTCAGGATAGGTTTGTATCCCGCCCCGGGACCTTTCCCTCTTTCCGTGCCAGAAGAGACTACTGTTTCCTCACTGGGACATGGCTATTGCAGAATGGAGTCCATCCTTCTCTAAAGTGAGGGTAAATCTCAGGGTCAGCCATGGCTTTGACCCTCCCTGTGGAGCAGACAACAGAAAGCTGGGAATTCATGCCTGGTCCCCTGTGAATCCTCCTGCAGCAGGCTCTGACTTCAGAGCCCATGTTCTGTTTTTGGAAGCTTGTGCCCTTTGCAGGAGCCCCTGTGTGGGTTGGACCAGATTTCTACTGAGTTCCTGGGATGCAGGGCCCTGGCTCCTAGTCAGACACCAGGACCACCACCCATTGGGTTTTTTTGTTTTGTTTTGTTTTGTTTTTTAAGCCTACAGCACCTGGTATTCCCAGGCAGTCTCCCATCTAAGTACTAACCAGGCCGGATCCTGCTTAGCTTCCGCGATCAGACGAGATTATTTGATTGGTTTTTAACTGTATATATTACAGTGCGTGTGTGCCATGACACCTGTGTGAAGGTTAGAGGTCAACTTATTGACGTGGGTTTCCAGATCGGGCTTGGGTGGTCCCGGGCATGTGGGACCACCTCTCTGTGTGCCCTGACATTTAGACCCCAGTGGTGGGGTCACTGCTCCTGAGCTCTCAGAGCCCTTGATGGGTGAGGAAGTAGACGTTGCTTTGTTCTTTGGACTTGCTACTGTGTCTGGGAATCTTGTCACTGAGGCCAGGTGCCAGTAAGGGCTTTGTGACTGGGCAAGAGGAAGTGACAGTAACCATGCCCTGTGGCCAGTGGGGTGACTGTGTGTGCTAGCAGATTTCCTTCTGAAGAAAGGCTTATGGCAATGACCGAGGAAGCTCTTGAGCTGAGGGCTTCCCATAACAGGCCAGGCTGTGGGGAGAGGAGCCTGTGGCTCCACCAGGGGCTCTGCTGGACTGTTCACACTGGTTCAGGGAGCTGTGCGCACAGAAGCTCCATGGAGAGAGCTGTTGGTGATTCTGGCCCAGGCAAGGACGAGTTCCGGGAGGTTTGGATGAGCCTGTGCCCTGGATCCTAGTGTTAACAAGACCCCACTTCCTGAGATGGGGAGCTAAACCCACATCCTGGACCTTGAGAAAGGCCTGGCTGGTTGTGGTCTGCGTCGATTTCTCAAATGACATACTTGGGATAGTTTCTTCCCAAACCTACCTCCAGGGGCTTTTGATGGAGGGAAGGTGGCGACACATGCACATTGATTCAGGGTCTATGAAGTGTAGACGTGTGTTTCTAGATGATTCCATTTACTTCGGCATACTTCAAGGCCTGCAGCTGGCCTCCTGCCCCTTGAGTGTCTGACCGCGCCAGGTGGAGCTGCTGATGCCCAGCCCCCGGCTTATAGCCCTGCAGTCTGTGGTCCCCGCACTCAGAAGGCAAGGCCTGCTGGAGTTCTCTTGGGACCTAGGGAAGGCCCGTCTATATCGATAGAGCCTTGAAAATGGAAGGTGTTTTTATCAGAACCGAGTCCCTCCCCCGTAGTTAAACAATAAAACCAGACAGCTGCCTGACTGTGTTCAGAGGACACAGCTTTGCACTCTGACCTAAGAAAGACTCCCTGCACAGCACTGTGACCCACCAACCTTCTCCATCCCCGTCAGTGGCGTCTGTGAGGACACTGAAGCACTTCTGGTAATTTAATAAGGTCTTGGCTGGGTGTTTACTAACGAGCAGAGCTGGGCCTGGGTCTGTGGAGACTTCTGTAAGCCAGACCCCCTCCCCCAGACCAGAGCTGGCTCCTCCACAGGCACAGCCCATAGAAGCTTTGGTGTTCATGACATGTGTGACTGTCATGATGGGGGAGCCAGCTGTGGGGACACAGTTTGACAGTTTGTGTGGACAATGGCTTTAGGGTACTGCCTTGATGATGAAGTCACAGTGTGGCTGGTGCAGGAGAGTGAACTGGGCAGCCCTGGGTCTCCACCTCTGTCGCACAGCCTCGGTCGGACACTTGTGTGGTGTCTCGGGTGAGGCGTTGTCTCGTTCTCTGTCGGTTGGAGGAACTGCTGAGGAACATGCCCCTTCCTGTGGGTGATCTGGCTGGCCCTGTGAGGCTCTGCCAGGGCTCCTGTGTGGTGGTTACCATGCTGTGACTCTTGACGTGGGTGCAGGTGTGGCTCCAGCTGAGCAGGGACATGAGGGCAGAAGAGAACAGCATTTGTAGAGTAGCCACAGCCTAACATGATTGAAGGCCAGCACACATGTCTTCCTGTGTGAGTGAGCACATGGGTACATGCCACATGAATGCAGAGGTCCTGTGAAGGAATCCGTTCTCTCCTACTACACAGGCTGTCAGGCTTGGGGGCAGTCACTGCCTTTACCAGCAGCTGTCCTCATGTGTGTTTTAGAACTTGGGGGTTTGTTTTCGTTTTTTGAGATGTTTTCTCTGTGCAGCCGTGGCTGTCCTGAAACTTGCTCTGTAGACCAGGCTGGCCTCAAACTCACTGAGATCCACCTGCCTCTGCCTCCCGAGTGCTGGGGTTAAAGGTGTGCGCCACCACCGCCCAGCTAGAACTTGGTTTTAAAGGTGGAAGTTTAAACATGGTTTGCAACAGAAGAAAGCGTCTTCATCGGACTCATTGGAATTATTCTGTCTTTGTTCTGGGAGCCTATGGGGGCCTGACTCTCAACCTGCCTTCCTTGTATATACCAAGTCCAAGGAGCCCACCACTGCATGACAAATAGTTAAGAATTGCTCAGGCTGTGTCTTGTATTCCCTGCATCACAAGGATATATTACATCTTATATTTACAACTGTATTAGATTTAAATAACCCAGAGTTGAAACAGGCCCGGACAGCAGAGTGTGTGTTGCTGCTTTTGTAGAGGACCCAGGTTTGTGTACCAGCCAGCACCCACATCAGGAGACTCACAGCTGCCTGGAACTTCAGCTCTAGGGAATTGGATGCCCTCTTCCGGCATCTGTGGGCACTGCATATATGTGCTCATCTATGTGCAGACACATACATAAAAAAGTGAGAGGCAGACCAGGAGGCTTAGGCCTGTGATCACAGCAACTCCAGAAGCTGACACAATGGATGGCAAATGCAGTCAGCCGGGTAACTTAGTGAGATCTGTCTTAGAGTTTGAAAACACAGAAGCAGAAACGTGGGGCGATGAGCTGTAGCTAGAGGTTCAGGGCTCTCACTGCTGTGTGCTGGGCTCTAGAGGTTCAGGGCTCTCTCACTGCTGTGTGCTGGGCCCTAGAGGTTCAGGGCTCTCACTGCTGTGTGCTGGGCCCTAGAGGTTCAGGGCTCTCTCACTGCTGTGTGCTGGGCCCTAGAGGTTCAGGGCTCTCTCACTGCTGTGTGCTGGGCTCTAGAGGTTCAGGGCTCTCTCACTGCTGTGTGCTGGGCCCTAGAGGTTCAGGGCTCTCACTGCTGTGTGCTGGGCTCTAGAGGTTCAGGGCTCTCACTGCTGTGCGCTGGGCTCTAGGCCCAGTTGCCAGCACTGTAAAAAACAAACAAACAAAGATGCGAGCAGACCTACAGAGGATGTACATGCCACCATTTGATTAAGGGTCTTGAGCACCTGTGGGGTTTGGTGTCTGTGGTGGCCATGGACTCTGAGGGACCAGCTGCATGCTGAATGCCTCCTGTCCAGGTTCTGTCGCTTTCCTCTGTGACGTCAGCCTGACATGACTGTGTCATCTGGTTAATTGATAGTGACTGTTGGATGTTTAGGTGGTTTCCAGCCTTTCCCCATTGTGAATGAGTGTGTGGCTGGCTGCAGGGTGCTTTCTGAGGGTAGACTCTGCTGAATGTCTCTTTCCAGTGTTGGCGGACACTGACAGCACAGTGCGGCCTGCAGTCGGATAGACAGGAAGCCGCCTTGGTTAAGAGGCACTTTTTCTGTGTTGGAGATGGAGCTCCGGGCCTGTGCCCGTGCTGGGCAATACTGTCCCTCATTGGAAATCACCCCAGTCCCATTTATCACTTTAACTTATCCTAAGCCGTTTTGTGAGGGGTAAACTTCTGAAATAGTTTCCCCACCAGCTGGGATTTCTCCAGCCAGACCCACAGCGTGTAGAGATGGCGCCCTTGGCCAATCCTCAGGAAGCTGTGTGGGTGGCATCCTTGACCCGCCTTGCTCGAGGGCGTCGTGTTGTGCCAGGTGGTGCTCTGAGGAGTCACAGGCTGACCCACACCTAGTGCCTGACTGTCTCTCTCTTCCTTAGGAGCAAGAGCAGCTCTACTTGCGATCGGGCGTGGTGACCTCTGCGACCTTTGAGCAGCCAGGTCGGCAGGTGAAGCTGTGGGTGAAGATGGTGACCCCGCTGATCAAGAACTTCTTCTGAGGACAGGCAGGTGCTGGGAACTCAGAGTAGGCCAGGCCTTCCAAAGGCTGGAGCTCCAAGGACCTTGAGGGGACCCTGGGGCCTGGTCTGTCCTCTGCTTTCTTCGTTTGCCATAGAGCAGTGTGTGCTGGTGGACCGCGCTTTTAAAGCTGGACTGCTTCCCTCCGCTCAGCTGCTGCCGCCCCAGGCTAAGGCCACCTGTGGTGGGCCAGCGGCCTCTGTCCCCCCCTTCTGCTATTCCTGTTCCTCGAGCGAGGCCCTGGGGTGGGGGGTGGGGGGGCAGGGGGTGTCTCTTTCCTTCCCTTGTACCCTGCTGGCCATGGCCCAAAGGCAGACAGTGCTATTCTGAGTGTGCCAGGGTTGGGACAGGATGACACTTGACAGAAAGCTGTCTCCCTGAGGTGCAGCGGGTTATGGTGATGCCAGAGAGGCAGCTGTGGTATTCTTTCTTGTTGGCCGTGGGTATTCTCTGCTTGCCCAGGAGCCTGAGCACTGGAGAACGAGGCTGGGCTGTCTGGTGGCCTCACTTAAGCTACCATGCTGACCTCTGCAGAGTCGCTGGAGCCCAGGAATCTGTCTCTGAGTCTTTGCCTCTCTTGCCCCTGTCCCCTCCTTTGTCATACCTTCACTTTGGAGACAAATTCTCACTAGCCCTGACTGGCTTGGAACTCACAGAGATCCTCCTGCCTCTGCCTCGAGTGCTAGGGTTAAAGGCGTGCGTGGCCACCCCTGTTCAGCTTACAGTAGATGTGCTGGTCACATTTGGTGCACTGCCTCACAACAGGTCACTTCACGTGCACATGGCCTGTACGTGTCTAGAGGCCCACTTGCCTGCGTCCTCCCCGGGTCGCCTGGTGTGCAGAGAACAACTTTTGGGTCTTGGCACAGTGACCCGCAGAGGAGCCAGCCCTCCACCCACAGCAGCGATGGCTGCCTCTCGAGATCTGAATGGCTGTGGCTGACTGGTTGTCACCATTGCTGGCTGTAGCAGGTGGGGCTCCAGAGTCAGGATCGCCTACCCGGCCTTCCACAGACTGTTACTTTTAGTTGCTAGTAAGACAGAGTGGTGCTGCCCGGGGCAACTGCACTGCCTCCAGGACTGCGACCCAGGAACTGTCTGGAGATGCTGGCTTACACAGCACTTGCATTCCTGCATTTCCTGCCTGCAGAGTGAGCAGCGCAGGGTTGAGCCCCTCCTCTGCCCTGCTCCCTTTGTTTCTGCGCAGGCTTTTTGGGAACCCTGGGTACCCTCCCTCTCGCTCTGCTGATCTAACTCCCTAACCCTGACACCAGGGTTCTGTTGCAAATTCCTGCAGGTAACTTGGCCTTTGGGAAGTTTGAAGGCAGTTTTTTTTTTTTTTTTTTTTTTTGGTTTTTACGAGACAGGGTTTCTCTGTATTGTTTTGGAGGCTATCAGTCCAGCCCGGCCTCGAACTCACAGAGATCCGCCTGCCTCTGCCTCCCGAGTGCTGGGATTAAAGGCGTGCGCCACCACCGCCTGGCAAGTTTGAAGGCAGTTTGTACATGTGGAGAATTACTGTTTTATTTCAGACTCCAAAGGCAGAATTGGAAAAACTCGTTTGTGCTTATTACCAGGGACTGGAACAACTTGCCTGCAGCCTTGCTGCCTGTGCAATCTGCTGGGGCTGCAGTGACCCCTCCTGGCCAGCAGAGGCAGTTGCCCAGTAGCCAACCCTGGCCTGAAACTCCTCTGTCCCCATGGGGGGCTCAGGCATCAAAGCTGTGTTTACAGAAGTCAGACAAGCTGGGGTAGACAGTTCTTGGGAGGCCTGTGTCCCTTTGCAGCTTCAAAGCTGTAGAAACAGAGGGTGCCTCGCTCCCCCGGGAGCCCTGTTCTGGAGTCACAGGCTTGACTGGCTGTTTGGTGTCACCCATCACCCTCTTGTCTGTCTCCCCGATGCCTGGTCACTAGGTTGCGTGTCCAGCGTCAGCACTGCTAGTCTGTGAGGCCTGAGCTCTGCTCTCTTTTCTGATGCAGACGAGACTCGGCCAGTGTCACCTCTCTGTCCAGTGTCACCTGGGGCAGGGGCTTACTGTGTGAATGAGCCTGCTGGCTATTTGGTTACCAGGGTGTGTGTGTAGACCACAGTTAGCTGGGGATTCCCAGGGACGTGCCCACACTCACCTACAAGAAGTACGGACCGAGGGTGAGGGGCAGAGTAGACAAAAGTACGGGGTGGGTTGCTGCCCTGGATGCTGCTGCCTAGGAGAAACCCATGGCCCCAGAGCACAGCGTGGGAGCAGTGGCTCCTGCTCTCAGTGATCTGTGCCGTGGCTTCAGTGGGGAGGATGGCGGTGTAGTGTGCGTGGTGGTGTTGGTTTCTTGTTGTAGTGCTGGGACAGTTTGGGGAAGAAGGCGGTGTTGAGGTTATTACAGCAGGCGCTCTCGCTTGAGCGCTCATTGTAGACGCTGCTGTGTGGAGGGCGCACCTGGTCCCTGGCCGTGGGGCTTCGTGTATACTATCAGCCAGGGCGACGCCGCACCTTAACCCCCACCTGCTGTGGCAGAAGATAAGCTCACCCCTCCCTGGAAGTCCGGATTTAGGGTTTGGTTCCCAGGATGTTTGCTCTGAGCTGCTGGGAATCAGGCTTCAGTGATGGGCCAGGCCCTGGGTGACATCATGCGCTGAGTGCAATCAGACTGGCACATTGACCGCAATTGTTTTAATCTGTGCTCCACCCGCCTCTGCCCTCGCACAGTCCAGGTGCACTGGGTTTATGAGGAAAAAAACGCTGTCAGTTCCTGTAAAGTGACAGTGGCGAGGCTGGGTTTCTGGTTGGAGCCCAACAGGGCCGGGCGGCAGCAGCAGCAGCTACACCTGCAGCAGCAGCGCCACCGCTGCCAGGATCCACTTGGCCGCCTTCTCCTTGGTCTTCAGGTTAAAGGTCCAGACATAGGTGGGCCCGCGGATGCGCGTCTTGTACACGGGGCACTCATAGATGTTCTTGGTCTCCATTCGGTCCACAGGAATGGCCTTGATGAAGATGACAGGCATGACTGGTGTGAGATCCTTCAGCCGTGCTTCAGCAATGACTCCAGTCTGGGTGTCCCAGCGAGCTCCTGCGGGGACAGTGTAACTGAGGGGAGGCTGAGCCGCGGTTGCTGTCTGACCGTGAATAAGGCGGCACCAGCAGAGAGAGGCCTGGCCTCCAACCCCCCATCTTTGCAGAGACGGGCCAGTGAAGTGGGAGCCCTGAAGTGTTCAGGCCGGGTGCCAGGGGCTGAAAGTGCCAAACATGGGGTATGAACCGAAGACTTAGAGGTGACCGCATGCCGTAATGGCTCTGAGGCCGCGTCTCTTCAGAGGCTTGTCTCAGCCTTCTGAATGTCAGCGGCAGAAAACTGACGGAGGCTGAAGATTCCAGCATTGTCCCTTCCTGTGTATGAATGTCTACCCTCTATGTACATAGGGAATAAGTTATATATATATATGTATGTATATGTATATGCCTATATAAACACTATCTGCCCTTAACCTGACTGCTGTCTCTTGTCCTGTCTACTGGTGTTCATGTTTGAGTGGCATTCCACAGTAAACATGGTCGTGGGTGTGTGGAACCTCAGCCGGCCTGGTCCTCACACAGCTCAGGTGGGATTGGCTGGAGTGGGTCTGAGCACAGCCTTCTTGCCTGCCTAGCTGCCTAGGACGTGGGTTCTAATGGCCCCTTTGCCCATCTGCCCTCCTGCTGTCCTGCTTTGGTGGGTAGCCTGGCTGGCCTTCTTCCTTGAAGCCTTTGCTGGGGGACTGCTGGCTGAGGTGGGGTCCTGGATGAGGGTCAGTCCACATGCCCGGAGGCCCCGACTCAGCAGAGCTCCTGCTTCGGTTTGGAGGCCACAGTCCTCATCATGTCTAAACTGTTTAAATCATCTGCACACACACAAATGCTCCTGTCTTAGGTAGAGCCTAGGCTGGCTAGGACGATGGGGCTTTCCTGCTGCCCACAGAATCCCCGCAATCCCCCAGCCTCAGCCTCACAGGTGCCGGAGTTAGGCAGGCACCCCATACTGCCAGTCCCCCCCTGGAGCTCAGGGTAGCTCCAAGCCCACCCCTAGCCCAGGCTTGCCCATCCTGTGAGTGGGAGTGGCCCTGGGAGCTTCCGGGCGGACTGTCACCTTCCATGAAGAGCCCGTACACGTAGGAGCCCTCCCGGGGAGGGGCGGTCATGTCCTCTCTGTTCTTTTTCGTCACCTCCACAGACAGACACATCTTGTCCAGGGGCCACTCATTTTTCCTGGCCATGGACTGCATGATGGCCGTGAGAAACGACTGTGGGTTGAAGAAGCCAGCCAGCCACACGGTCGTGGGCAGGGCGAAGTCTGTTGTCCAGGCTTCAAGCTCCTGGGAGGAAACATGGGTTAGTCGCTGAGGGCACGGACTAGGGGAGGGGAGGGGGAGGGTCTCCACTGAGGCTGAGAGCCTGCAGCCTTCCCTGAGGGAACGGCTCGATCCTGGACAGACGTGACCTGGGGCCCGGGAATGGTTTTTGCTCTGGCCCTCGCTGAGTAGAGAGAGGGGCTCCTCCCTGCCGGGCTCTGAGCAATCTGCGCTCACTTCTGCTGTTTCCCTCCTTGGGAAGTGACACTGCTGCTGCTGCTGCTGATGTCTGAGGGGCCCGAGCCGGGCCTTCCCACCCGCTCGCAGTGGTGGCTGCTGGAGACTGGGGCCGAGGCACATAGCTTCCTGGAGGCTTCAGAGCTCCGAGACTTACCCGGATACGCTGCAGCAGGTCAGCATACCAAGCTGCCAAGCCCATCATGGAGGGGTAGGCCCGGGCCACCCACGTGTCAGGCACAGTGTCATAGAACAGAGCCGTGGACAGGTCCTCCATGTCTGTCGTGATGGTCAGTTCACCCTAAGGGACGTGGTCACACTTTGGAGGACGGATGTGGTCAGGATGGGGGAGAGCCCTCACTGTGTGTCCTGAGTGGCCAGCGTGGCACGGCTCTCTGGCACCTCCGGAGATCATGACCGGGCAACTGCCAAACCCCTGTGGCCTGTACTGGAGGGCTCAGGGACCAGGGAAGGGAGGGTTACACAAGGGTCGGTTAGTCACACACCGGCCTCCCGGGGCCAGGCCGCTGTCCCTCTGCTGACTAGCCCGTGCCCTGGATGACGCATGCGTGCTGTTTACCTTCAGCCCCAGGTTCAGCTCCTTCAGCGAGCGCCTCATCTCGTTGGTGAGGATGTTCATTCGTTCACATTCTTGAAAGGCCACAACCACATAGGGGGTCTTTTCAGCCGCCTTGGCCATGATCTCAGCCATGTTGAAGGTCTCTGGAATCTTCTCAAGGATGTCATCCAGCACAGCCTTCACCTGGAAGCCAGGGCCCGGCAAACGCTGCTTAGTGCCCTGTTCACCCAGCAGCGTCGGGGCGTGCTGACACACACATAAACACACATAGGTGCATGATGGCCACCTGCTACCACCCACCCATCAGTAGACTTTTTTTTTTTGAGAAGGCTCTGTCATCTCAGTCCAACCTGGAACACCATGCCACCCAGTCAGGCCCCGAACTTGAGATGCTCCTGCCTCACAGCCTCTGGAGAACTGAGGTTACAGGTGTGTGCACTCCACCTGGCTCAACAGTAGCCTTCTGGTTTCAATCGCTAGGTCAATAAAAATTCCAGACCCTGAATAGCAAGCAGGGACTTTCTGACTTCAGTTTTGGCCTGCTTACTGTTTAGCCCCGAGCACACCTGAGGTGTGACATACCCTTCCCGTGATGTAAGAGAAAGTGGGGAAGGTGTCGAGGCCAACCAGGTAAGAGAGCCTACATGGTTCCGACCGCCGATGCCCGGGCCGTCCTCTGAGCTCCTTGTCCTAAGGGGAGCCAGTTTGCAGCACCCCACAGTTCCGTGCCCAGAGCACTAGACCAGTGATGTCTGCGACCAGTTGTAGGCCACACCCTGGTCCCAGAATTTGTAGTTTCCAAGGCAGGGGGACAGAGCGTGCCTGGCTCAACATGCTGCCTAGGCACCGTCCCCAGCCCTACTGCTCTAGGACCTGCCTGTCCCTGTCCCTGGGGACATGGATGGGCCCTTACCTTTTCCTCACGGGATACCCCTGTGCCCGCCCCCGAGTCTGTCTCTTTGGGTTGCATTTCCAGGACTGTGCGGAACAGCTTCTCTGAAGTGACCGTCAGAAAGCCGATCTCCGCGTTGGGGTGCAGGCCGTACAGGTATGGACTCTCGGGGGGCAGGTTCTCATCGATGTACTCATGGTAGCCCTGAAAAAAGGTGATTTATGTGCGATTGGGGTCCACTGTCTTCTAGGTCTCTGTCTCTGTGTCTCTGTCTCTCTGCCTCTCTCTGTCTCTCTGTCTCTGTCTCTCTCTGTCTCTTTGTCTCTGTCTGTCTGTCTCTGTCTCTCTCTGTCTCTCTGTCTCTGTCTCTCTCATTTTTTCCTCTTGAGATGGGACTTCTCTGTGTAGCCCTGGCTGTTCTGGAACTCGCTCTGTAGACCAGGCTGTCCTTGAACTCATAGAGATCCGCCTGCCTCTGCCCTCTTGAGAGCTGAGATTAAAGGCATGTGCCACCACCGCCCGGCTCCTAGGCATTTCTTGACAGCATCTCCCTTGTGGTCTGTCCTAGTTCAGTCCTGCTGGCCAGTCACCTACCCCCTTCCCCAGACATGATGGCGTCTCCATCTGCTGCTCCTTGTTTTGGGTCCCCGGGTTCTTGGTCCGTAACTGATAGGCTATTTTTTTTTGAGACAGGGTCTCCGGTAGCCCAGGTTGGCCTCAAACCCGCTTGCTACCTCCAGCTCCCAGGATCAGCCCTCCTCAGTGCTGGGATTCCGTTACAGTTGCGGGCCACCATGACAGGCTTATTTGAGGCTGGGAGATGAAACCCAGGACTCCGTGCACGCCAGTTACCCACACCCCTGGGGTCCGATAGAGCTTTTGGGGTGTGGGCCGCTCAGGCCGGTCAGGATGGATTGATTGGTCTTTGCTGGTCTGGTCCCATAGCGGGCCCCCGAGCGGGGCGCCCTTTCCTCCCTACCTTGTAGTCCAGATTGGGGGGGATCTGAAACCCAGGGGCCAGCAGCACCTCCCCTTCCAGCATCTCCACACGGATGTACTCTGCCAGGTAGGTCCTGCACAGCCGGCGGTCCCAGTCATCAGTGATGTGGCCTCCATACATGATCTCACCGAAAAGGTAGCGGAGATCATCCCAGGGCACCTTAGAAATGGGGGGGGAGAGGGAGACGACATGAGGAGCGTCCCGCCCCCCGGAGATAGCTCAGCGGTGCCTGCCCCCGGGGCAGCCTTCTGACGGGAGGGGGAAGGGGGGTCACCTGTGACCACCTAGTTGCCAAGGGGGCGTCTTTTCCCACCGTCCCAAAGTCCAGTCAGTTGCGTGTCTAGCATGGACCAGTGGGGCCTCCTGACCCATCTGGGACTGCTGTGTGGCCTCTGCTGATTCAGTAACCCTCCACCAGTAAGTAGCTGTCCCTGTGCAGGTCTCTGTGGGAGCGGGGTGCTCAGCACGGCCAGCCAGAGCCTTGGCTCCCTGGGCTTCCTGAAGAGATGCGTGCACTCACAGCCCGGCACCGGCTCTCCGCTGGGTCAGATGGACTTTCCCACCCTCTGTCTTCTTGTTTCCCTTCTGCCCAGACACACGTCCCTCACCCTAGATCCCTGGCCGAGACACGCATGGTCTTTCAAAGCCTGGTTCACACGTCCCTTTATCTACAGGGCTGGGCGTTTTGGCGTGCATGCGTGCGGCCTGTTCCTGCTGCCCGCAGCGGCCCGAGGGAGGGAATGCAGGGAGCCGAGTCTGCACATTTTCATTTTCTGGCGGCCACTTGACACAGAGTCAGAGGATCCCTGACCTGTGACAGGTGAGTCACCTTCTGGAGGCTCTCTTCCCGGGTGAGGACTCTGCACCCAGACTCTGGCAGCTGCTGTGAGAGCGGCATTGCTGGAGACTGTGCCACCTGAGTCCACTTGGCCTACTACAGCTTGTACACACGTGCCGTTTTCCCGGGGATGGTGGCCAGTCTGTAACCACCACCGTGCCCTGCCTGAGAGCTTCTGATGGAGTTCGGTGAAACTATCTGACTGAGCTAACCATTTGTCTGACTTGGTTTTGTGAACTTTCACTTAAAACACAAGTGTGCTCTGGATTCTCATTGTAAAGAGTGTGTGTGTGAGGGGGGGTGCAGTGTCCATGTCTAAGCTTGCGTGTGCGCGTGAGGGCCAGCGCGTTCAGTGGCAGTGATGCAGAGGTCAGAGGACCACCTTGTTTGAGGCAGGATCTCTTTACGGCACCCCAGGCTGACTGACTCTCGAGTTTCTGGGGCACCCTGTCTCCCTGCAGGAGTGCTGAGATTACAGGTGTGGACAACCGTGTCTCACTGTGTGGGCGCTGGGGCTCTGAGCTCACCTTGGGGTTGGCTTCCAGGTAGTTGTAGAGCACGTTGATGGAGATGGTGAGGTCCCCGTTGTTGAAGGGGTATGACCGGTTCCAGCCCTGGGCACCGAACTTGCGCCTCTCGGCTACTACGGCGTGGAAGTAGCACAGGGCGAAGAGGATGCACTTGAACTCGATCTCCTTGGTGCACATCTCCATGGTGTCCTGCCGGGCGGACAAGTGCCGTGACCGTCCCCAGAGATGCCCAGCTCCGTCTCTGCCAGCAGGTGGCGTGGCGGGGCTAAAGCTTTTCACTGACCCCATCAAACTGTCGTCCCCGCCCCCTGCCAGCAGCCCCGGGGGCGCCCATCTGAAGACCCAGGGTTATTTCCCCAGGAAATCCACACAACTGTGTTCCTGATTTATGTGTTTCCTGTATGATATACATTTTGTTTTTGACTCTGTGCCTTGTTACATATCAGGCTCGGCTGGAAGTCACAATCCTGTCTTGGTCTCATGGGCGCTGAGGTTACAGGCATGGATGCCTACTCTTAATATATATTTAAACTTTTCACATTAACGTACCGTGAAGGTGTGTGCCATGATGTGTGTGTGTGTGTGTGTGTGTGTGTGTGTGTGTGTGTAAGTCAGTTATTTCTCTGCATCCTGTGTACCTGCTTGTTAGGCTCTGGGGATGGAACTCAAGTTGTCAGGGGTTTGGTGGCAATCTCCCTTACTTGCTGAGTGCGCTCACTGGCCCTCCAATAGAGTTTTGTTTTTTGTTTTTTCGAGTCAGGGTTTCTCTGTATTGTTTTGGAGGCTGTCCTGGAACTCGCTCTGTAGACCAGGCTGGCCTCGAACTCACAGAGACCCGCCTGCCTCTGCCTCCCGAGTGCTGGGATTATAGGCGTGCGCCACCAATGCCCTGCTCCAATAGAGGGTTTTTTTTTTTTTTAATGGCTGGAAGCACCATTTCCACATTGTTTATTTCATCTAGTCATAAGACATCATGTTAAGGCAGTCATTTCCCATTTTGTTTTTACCTGAGTACTCCAAAACATTTGAAAATCTATCCTCCTTGTCCATTGTTAAGTAAGCATGGTAAAAGTTTCATGCTAAGTTAATCCAATAGAGTTTTTAACCGCGGTCTTAGTGTGCTCCTATTCATGAAAAGGAAGGCGGCCTGCGCTGGAGGGCACCTGTGGTGCCAGCGCCTGAGAGGCTGCTGGCGAAAGCCCCCTGGCCCTGCCACCATGGTGTCCCACCCATCTGTCACTCACAGACCCCTGCAAGAGTAACAAGGAAACTCGAAAGCGGAGCCAGCCGTACTCTTCGGTGTGGCCCGAGGTGTCAGTCACTACCCCGTGCACTGAGTGGTGGGTAGCCTCGACCACTGCCCTGGGTGCCTCCCATGCCCAGGGAGCACACCGCCCTGGGTGCCTCCCATGCCCAGGGAGCACACCCGCGCCCCTTGCTGGGTTGTCATCTGCGGGCCTGGGTCACCGGCTTCCCATCGGTTGTGCCTGTGCCCGCCCGTGCGCCTTTTACCCTCGGCTGTCCCAACAGTCTCGCTTTGGTAAGTTGAGAGCAGGTTGGGAATGGTCTGTGGAGGGCTCACAGCCCATGTATTAAAGGGAGACACGGGAGCCCCGTGTTCCTCGGCGTCCCCTCTGGGGAGGTGTGTGTGAGGAGGACGTAGGGTCCCAAGCCTTGGCGGTTTAGGCTTCAGCCTGGAGGTGCGGTGCTTGTCGCGGGAGGCTAGAGCGGAAACGGATGGGGGGAGGGAGCAAGGCCAGGGCTGGCCGGGGCAGTGGCCGTGGGGTGACGCGGTGGGAGGGATACAGAGTTCACTGGAGGACCAGGAGGCTGGTTCAGAGGTGGAGCCCTGTGTGAGGCCTGGTGCTCCCTGAAGCCCTAGGGTGCCAGACAAGCCCGAGTCTGCCCTCCTCTCTGGAGGGAACAAGAAGCCACGGTACCTGGTGCTCCCTTGTTTGGGGCAGTATCAGAGGACACTTGGCCATGGAGCTGAGCTCCAGTGGGGACAGTGTCACCACCACCTGTCAGCCTGAGGCTCCGTGGGGGTCAGGGAAGTGCTGTGGCCCAGGATGGGACGGGACCTCAGGAGCCACCGAGCCGACAGGCAGTCCTGACTGCCAACTGACAGGGGCCCTGAGGCTGACCAGAGGCCATGCTGTGCCCATGGCTTCGGGGTGGGGCGGGGCAGTGAGTTTGCCCAGCCTCCAGGGACACACTTGAGTGTGACTGGAGCGTGTGAGAGTGTGCTGGTGCGGTGCGGTGCGGGTGGGAGGCCAGAGTGCAGAAGTCTCCAGAACTCAGACGGAAGAGTCTTGGCTTACTGGGGCCTCTGTTTCCTTCGCCTGGCTGGGGAGGGCCGCCCAGTCTCGCCCCGCCTACCTGAGTGAAAAGGTCCAGGGCCTTGTGCAGGTTGGCATACATGCCCGTGGGTGGCTCGTTGGTGATTTTGATGGCGTTTTCCAGGATGCCCTGGGGGATGATGTGTGCCTCCGGGGTGGGCGCGGGCTCCGCGCTGATGAACACGCGGTAGTCCTCGTGGCTGCCGGTGCTGTAGCGTTCTATCTTCTTGTCCAGGGTGCTCAGCCATCTTGCCACGAGGTGAATGTTCTGCGGCAAGGAGCTCTGCCTGAGGCCTGGGGACCCCCCCGCTGCACCCCAGCATGGCCAGGCCTCTTAACAGCAGCACCCTAAGCAACACCCACACAGTAAGGTGGTTGCCCTATCCCGACCCTGTTTGCCCTGACTGGTGAGGAGCCCCCTGAAACTCCGCCTTGGGGTGAAACTGGTTCCCCTGGGCGCACGGCACAGACAGCGTGTGGTCCCCAGAACTCCTCTTGGGGCTGCATGGTACCCCCAGCAGGGGGACGTTCTGTCCCATCCCCCAGTGACATGGCCATGGTGTCCAGAGGACCCCTCACCTGCAGGATGACCCAGTGTCCTTTCTCGGCAGCCACGTCCAGTGCATTCTCGGCCACCACCTCTTGTCCTTGACCCAGGGACACGTTATGGAGTTTCCCATTGTCTATGGTAAATCCCAGTTTTTTCCCTAAAGAGGGGAAAAAAACAGGAAAAGCACAGGGGTGACTCAGAGCAGCGGTTCAGGCTCTGCGTTCTGCAGCCAGGGACGCCACACGCCTCCCACTTGTTTATTGTGGGGGAAGACACACATCCCGTAACACGGCTGTGCTTCAGCCCGCCTGGAAAGGCGTGGCCCAGGGGCACGAGGGAAAACGGTCATGCTGTGCGGCTGTCCTTCTGCCCCCAGAACGTCTCAGGACCTTGAGCAGTGACTCCCCCTCCTCTCCCCCTGCCTGACAGCAGCTGGATGCTCTCCAGCCCCGCGGGTCAGCCCGGCACAGACATCTCGTGTAAATGGGATCACACGCTCTGAGGCCTCCGCCAGCAGCTTCACCACTGGCTCGCCCGAGCCCCGCGCTTTCAAGTCCCGTCTGTGAAGTAGTGTGGACTTGGTCCGTGGCAGAGAAATAGCTCACAGAAGATCTGGCTACACTGTCTCTATCCGTGTGAGTGAGTGTGTGTGAGTGTGTGTTTGTGTGAGTGTGTGTTTGTGTGAGTGTGAGTATGTGTTTGTGTGAGTGTGAGAGAGTGTGAGTGTGTGTTTGTGTGAGTGTGAGAGAGTGTGAGTGTGTGAGTGTGAGAGAGTGTGAGTGTGTTTGTGTGAGTGTGAGAGAGTGTGAGTGTGTGAGTGTGAGAGAGTGTGAGTGTGTGTGAGTGTGAGAGAGTGTGAGTGTGTGTTTGTGTGAGTGTGAGAGAGTGTGAGTGTGTGTGAGTGTGAGAGAGTGTGAGTGTGAGAGATTATGAGTGTGTTTGTGTGAGTGTGAGAGAGTGTGAGTGTGTGTTTGTATGAGAGAGTGTGAGTGTGTGTGAGTGTGAGAGAGTGTGAGTGTGTGTTTGTGTGAGTGTGAGAGAGTGTGAGTGTGAGAGAGTGTGAGAGAGTGTGAGTGTGAGAGAGTGTGAGTGTGAGAGAGTGTGAGTGTGTGAGTGTGAGAGAGTGTGTGAGAGTGTGAGTGAGTGTGTGTGAGAGTGTGAGTGTGTGAGTGTGAGAGAGTGTGAGTGTGTGTGAGTGTGAGAGAGTGTGAGTGTGTGTTTGTGTGAGTGTGAGAGTGTGAGTGTGTGAGTGTGAGAGAGTGTGAGTGTGAGAGAGTATGAGTGTTTGTGTGAGTGTGAGAGAGTGTGAGTGTGTGTTTGTGTGAGAGAGTGTGAGTGTGTGAGTGTGAGAGAGTGTGAGTGTGTGTTTGTGTGAGTGTGAGAGAGTGTGAGTGTGTGAGTGTGAGAGAGTGTGAGTGTGTGTGAGTGTGAGAGAGTGTGAGTGTGCATGAGTGTGAGTGTGTGAGTGTGAGAGTGTGTGTGAGTGTGAGTGTGAGAGAGTGTGAGTGTGTGTGAGTGTGAGAGAGTGTGTGAGAGTGTGAGTGTGTGTGAGTGTGAGAGAGTGTGAGTGTGAGAGAGTGTGAGTGTGTGTGAGTGTGAGAGAGTGTGAGTGTGTGTGAGTGTGAGAGAGTGTGAGTGTGTGAGTGTGAGAGAGTGTGAGAGAGTGTGAGTGTGTGTGAGTGTGAGAGAGTGTGAGTGTGTGAGTGTGAGAGAGTGTGAGTGTGTGAGTGTGTGTGAGTGTGAGAGTGTGAGTGTGTGTGAGTGTGAGTGTGTGAGTGTGTGAGTGTGTGAGTGTGAGAGAGTGTGAGTATGTGTGAGTGTGTGTGAGTGTGTGAGTGTGTGAGAGAGTGTGAGTGTGAGTGTGAGTGTGAGAGTGAGAGTGTGTGTGAGTGTGAGTGTGAGAGAGTGTGAGTGTGTGTGAGTGTGAGAGAGTGTGAGTGTGTGAGTGTGAGTGTGTGAGTGTGTGAGAGAGTGTGAGTGTGTGAGAGAGTGTGAGTGTGTGTGAGTGTGTGTGTGAGTGTGAGAGAGTGTGAGTGTGTGTGAGTGTGCGTGTAATGGGTAGTTTTGATTGTCAGCATGACTGGGTATAGATTCACTATGGAACCTCCCTTCTAGATATTTTTTCCTTTTATTATTTTAATTTTAAATAGCTTGCTTCACACGTCAATCCCAGTTCCCTCTCCCTCCCCTACTCCCGCAACCACCCCCACCATCCCCCCAGCCTCCCACCCTATCCCCACTTCCTTCTACTAGGGGATATCCAGAGTCTGTCATTTCGCTCAGGGCAGGGTCCAGGCTCTCCCCTAAGAGTCCAGGCTGAGAGAGCATCCCTCTTTGTGTCATGGACACACGAAGTCCGTTTGTATGCCAGGGATAAACCCCGTAGGTAGCCCAGGCCTCCTCACTGACTCTCACACTCAGGGGTCTGGATCAGTCCCATGCTGGCCTCCCAGCTGTCTGTCTGGGGTCCAAGTCTCTCCCCTGTTCAGATTAGCTGTCTCTGCTGGTTTTGCCAGCCCATTCTTTGCCAATTTGCTCATCGCTCCTCTCTCTCTGTCACTGGGTTCCATGGGTTCTGTTCAGTGTCTAACTGTGGGTGTTTGCCTCTGTTTCCATCAGTCACTGGATGAAGGCTCCCGGATGGTTATAGACATCAAGTTCAAAACCCGAAACCTTCTAGATATTTCTATGAGGGGGTTTCAGAAAAGAAGGAAGGCTCACCCTGACCCCGGGTGCACCGCCCAGCGGGCTGGGGTCCAAGGGGAAGCGGGCCGAGCGCTGACTGCAGCTGTCCCAGGCTCCTGCCATCATGGCCTCCCCATCACGACAGACTGAACCCTCAGACTGTACCCAAATAAACCCTTAAGTTCCCCTTCTTTTTTTCCTGTCCCAGCTGTGATAAAATCACCCGGGCAGGGCTGTTTCCAGTTTTGGTTGTTGGGAGAGTGCACATGTGGGGAGGTATGTCAGGGTCTCTGATGCGGTTTGCGGCAGCGTGAACAAAAGCGACTTGGGGGGGAGGGGTTTATGCGTCTTTCACATCCTGATCACAGCCCATCACCAAGGGGAGGCAGGGCAGGAGCCAGAAGCTGAGGCCGTGCTGCTCGGTGGTGGTGTGGTGGCAGCTCTCGTACTGCACCTAGGACCACCAGCTTAGTGTGGCCCCGCCCACAGTCGGCTAGATCCGCCCACGTCAATCACCAACCAAGAAAATGCCCGCAGGCTTGCCCGCGGCCAATCTGGTGGGGGAGTTTGTCAATTTAGGCTCTCACCTTCTCCCAAGTGACTTTAGCTTGAGTCACATCGACACAGAGTAGCCAGAGCAGAGGCCTGTCAGTTGACTTCCTTTCTAACCCTTTTAGGGACAGACCCAGCCTCAGACTAGAAGATGCCTTGGTGACTCTGGGTACCGCGGTGACCTCTCTGCTTCCCACTCCTCATTTCCACGCCGGTGGGCTTGCTGTTTCTCTACGCCCCCCTCCTCCCCACGTAGTGCGCCTTGTGCCCATGGGAGTCTCTGGGGTGTTTCTCTCTCTCTCTCTTTCTCTTTCCCTGTCTCTCTCTCTCTCTCTCTCTCTCTCTCTGTCTCTCTCTCTCTCTCTCTCTCTGTGTCTCTCTCTCTCTCTCTCTCTCTGGATTTGTGTGGCATTTCCACAGGGGCCTGCTCGTGCAGCTGTACTCACCCAGGGCCTCCACGTCCTTGAGGGGGTCGACCCCGGGGGACAGGATGAAGAAGATTGGCGTGGAAGGGCTGCTCTCCTTGTAGGACTTGGAGAATTCCACGCTCCGGCCTTCCACAAACTTGCTGCCCATCTTTTCTTCCACGAAGTTCCTGAGGGGAACACACACTGTGGGACCACAGGCAGCCGGGCCCTGCTGGGGACCAGGGCGAGTGGGTGGCTTAGGTCCGGGTGGGTGGGGCATTCTGGGGGGAACTTCCTCTGAAGACATCGAGGGGAAAGCAAGTGGCAGCTTGACTTTTTTTTGTCTTTTTGGACAGGGTTTGGAGTAACCCAAGCTGGCTTGGTATTTGTGATATGGCTACGACGGCCCTCCTCCCCCTCCTCCTCCCCCTCCTCCTCCTCCCCCTCCTCCTGCCCTCCTCCCCCTCCTCCTCCTCCTCCTCCTCCCCCTCCTCCTCCTCTTCCTCCTCCTCCTGCCCTCCTCCCCCTCCTCCTCCTCCTCCCCCTCCTCCTCCCCCTCCTCCTCCTCTTCCTCCCCCTCCTCCTCCTCCTCCCCCTCCTCCTCCCCCTCCTCCTCCCCCTCCCCCTCCCCCTCCTCCTCCCCCTCCTCCTCCTCTTCCTCCCCCTCCTCCTCCTCCTCCCCCTCCTCCTCCCCCTCCCCCTCCTCCCCCTCCTCCCCCTCCTCCTCCTCCCCCTCCTCCCCCTCCTCCCCCTCCTCCTCCTCCTCCCCCTCCTCCTCCCCCTCCTCCTCCTCCCCCTCCCCTCCTCCTCTTCCTCCTGCCCTCCTCCTCTTCCTCCTGCTCCTCCTCCTGCCCTCCTCCTCCTCCTCCTGCCTCCACTTTTCCAGTGCTGGGGTTACAGGTTTCTGGGTGTCACCACGCGCAGTTTATGCGGTGCCAGGGTGTGAACCGAGGTTTTTTTTTTTTTTTTTTTTTTTTTTGTGCATGCTAGGCAAGCACTGTAGCAATTGAGCCGGGTCCCCGTCTTACTCAGCAGTGTCTCCTCCTTCAGTCCCAGAGGCCCAGGCATGAAGGATGCAAAGGGCCTCCAGGGTCCATGTGGGATGCTGAGGGGAGGAGAGGCAAGCTCTGTGCTTCTAGAAGGTGGCTTTAGAGCCAGCTGCCAGAGCCCCTCTCTCCACCACAGCCCCAGAAGTCCCCGGTCCCTTGGGTGGTCTGTGGCGTGTAAGTGGGTTTGAGGAACCCTGGCTGTGTGCAGGGAAAGATGTTAAGGGAGACAGCCCATCCCACTCTAAGCCAGGCCCTGGGCTCCTCTGTGCTGAGTCCCTCCCTTTCCCTAGCCCCACCCCCACCCCCCACCTGGGAGGGCTCAGGTCTTAAAATTAGGACTCTTCACTTAACGGCCGGCATCCAACTGACACTAAATTTAGGCACGGAGGCCCCCCACCCCCGATGGTCTTTCTTTTTCTTCTCCTCTTTCAACCATAGAGCCTCATGTGGGAAACCCTGCTTTCCCATCCCGTGTCACAGGTTACCCCCCCCGTCAGTGTCACAGGTTACCCCTGCTGATCACACCCTGAGACACCAAGAGTCGACAAGAACCCAGGATCAGGGCTGAGAATGTCGTTCAGTCACTAACGTGCTTGCCAAGCATGTACTAGGCCTGGGGTTCGATCCTTAGCGCCCCAAAAAACTGCGTGTGGGGGCGGCGGTACCCGCCTGTAATCCTAGCCCTCTGGAGGCAGAGACGGGAGGATCAGAAGCTCTAAGCCCTTGGCTACACAGTAAGTTCGAGTTTAGGGTCAGCCCAGGGTGCTTGAGACCACATCTAAAACATAAAAAAGAAAAAGAAAAAAGAAAAAAAGGAACTCGTGCCTCGGGATCAGAGCGCCTCGCCCAACGGCTGTGGCAGGGCAGCAAAGGGGCCTCGCTCAGCTCTGAGCCCGCTAGCCTGCGGCATATCCAGAGTGCCCCGGCTGGGGGCTGAGGGGTGCTCACTTGACAGCGTAGGTCATGCGGTCGGGCCTCATGCACCGCACCATGCACAGCTTCTGCAGCGCCGTCTTGTTCTTCCATTCCTTGGGGAAGATCTCCTTCTCCGGGGCTTCCGACTCCACCAGTTTCTTCCACCGCTTGGCGGAGCCCTCGATGTCACTGTCCAGGTTTTTGAACTCGTCCATCTCTGACAGGGCCTAAATCAGATGTGGGCGCTGCTTCAGTGACCGCAACAGGTCCCCGAGCCAGGAGGGCACCTTCTCCGGGTAGCCCTTGGAGGACCCTGGGGAGAGGCCTCAGGAAGATGTGGCGCTCCGGGGAGAGTGACAGTCTGACCTGTTATTAATTATTATTATTATTATCATTATTATTTGGTTTTTTGAGACAGGGTTTCTCTGTGGCTTTGGAGGCTGTCCTGGAAGTCACTCTGTAGACCAGGCTGGCCTCGAACTCACAGAGATCCGTCTGCCTCTGCCTCCCGAGTGCTGGGACTAAAAGCGTGTGTCACCACTGCCGCCCTGGCAGACTGACCTGTTATTAAGGTCACAACTATTCTTCCTGTCAACTGCAGCTCAAGCTTCCATGGGGGTGTGTGTGTGGCCTGGGGGCTCACAGCAGCCCCTCCCCTCCAGTGAGGGTGTTGTCAGGGCTGCCCCACCTCAGGCCACTGCCTCCCTCAGGTCAGTTTGGATTGAAACCTGACACCTGGCACCTGAGGGCTCTTGGCAAAGCAATCTGGGAATCCGAGGAGTGACCATACCTGGAACGGGGTAGGGGCGTAGGGAGGCTGGCGCAGGGTGGCCTGGGACTTGCTGCTGCGGGGTCCCCGAGGGTGCAGCTCTCCTCTGGGCCCGAGCAGGCCAGTGGAGACCGACGGTGTCACGCTCAATGCGAGTGTAGAGCTGTTCTGTGGGCGGCCGTCATGCTGGCCCCCGCCCTCTTCTGGCCTGTCACCCGTGGTGCGGCACAGGCATCCTCCTCCCTGCCTGGAAGGGGTCGGCGCTGAGCGCGAGGACCCACCTTGATCCCGCCCCAACTCTGGTGCTGCAGGAAATCCACAGGTGACACCACGCCCGCCTTGAAGGGGAACCGCAGGAGGAAGTCCAGCTCCATGGGGTTCAGCTCCTTCTTCATGGACAGGACCTGTGGACGAGGGGGGCCCGTGGGGCTCAAGCGCCTTCTCGTGTTTCTTTCACATCGGGGCGAGGCACGTAAAACATGTTTCACTCTCGATAAAAGCACACTAGGCAAGGGGCATTAGTACACCCACGAGGGCGTGTGTGTGCAGATACAAGCTGGTTCTAGAACGTTCCCACCAACCTAAAAGAAAACACCCTATCCACTAAGGAGGTCGCAGGCTACAGGAGTGCGTATTGTAGTGGCTGTGCAGCGGTTCAGATGTCTCCCACAAGCAACCTGCATTGGGATCTGTGTATGTGTGTGTGTGTGTGTGTGTGTGTGTGTGTGTGAGAGAGAGAGAGAGAGAGAGAGAGAGAGACAGAGAGAGAGAAACAGAGAGACAGAGACACAGAGAGAGACAGAGACAGGCAGAAACAGACAGACAGAGAGACAGAGACAGACAGACAGAGAGACAGAGACAGAGGGTCCATGGGTCCACTGTGTAGCCCTGGCTGACCTGGAGCTCATAGAGACCAGGCTATATGAACCCACAGAGCTCTGCCTGCTTCTGCCTCCTAAGTGATGGAATTAAAGGGGTGCTCCGTCATACCTGGCCCACAGTGGGATCATGATCCCTAGGACAGCAGTTGTGGGATGTAGGGCCAGGTGACAGGCAACCAAGACATGGAGGGAGTGCAAAGATTGTGCCATCTCTTGGGGAGATGTTCATTACGAGGGGAGGCTACCCTGTCCTGTTCTCTTGTGCCAGCAGGAAGGACAACACTGGATGCTGCACCTGGACCTTGGTCTTCCCAGTCCCCAGAACTGGAAGACAAAGTTCTGACACCTTGGGCAGTGCTTTTAAAAGGGACTGAGGCTATTGTCCTTCTGTATCCGTCTACCCATCTTTCCTTCTTTCCATCCATCCTTCCTTCCATCCATCTTCCTTCCAGCCATCCGTCTGCCCTCCCTCCCTCCCTCCCTCCCTCCCTCCCTCCCTCCCTCCCTCCCTCCCTCCCTCCCTCCCTCCCTCCCTCCCTCCCTCCCTCCCTCCTTCCCTTCCCCCCAGTGTCTAGCTATGTTTCACAGCTGATGTTGCCTCCCTGGATCAAGTGGCCCTCCTGCCTCAGCCTCCCAAGTGCCGGGTCTGAGCTCACGCCACACGCCTTACAGGGACAGGCTGTTTAGCCAGCTGTACCGAACACAAACCTTTCAACACTTCAGCAGGACTTCAGGCACACGTAGGCAAAAGCCCTTCCTCGGAAGAGCAGTGAATCTTTGCGTGCATGCGTGAGTGCGCTTGCTCCTGTCCGCATGCCTTGCATGTGAGTGGGGCCCAGATGTCAACCCGGGGCTCATTTCTCAGGCGCTGTCCACCTTAGTTTTTGAGACACGGTCTAAAGTGAGGCTAGACTGAGTTGTTTCCCCAGACCCTGTATTTATTTCTTTACTATCTTTTTGTGCACGTGTGCGTAACAACGCGTGTGTGGAGACCAGAGGACCACTGGTGGGGGTTGGGTCCCTGCTTCTGCCACTTGGGTCCTGGGGCTTTGCAGCAGGTGCCCTTACCCACGGAGTCGTCTTGGCGGGCTCTTCCATTCATTGCTGAAGATGCAGTCAGCATCCTTGGCGGGCTAAGGACCATTTGCTCAGCACTGATACACTGTTATGATATTTCTTTGTCCGAGTCTCTTTAACCTCCTCTCACCCACGTCTCCCACCGGAAACATCTGCTGTGCTTCCCTGGTGTCCCCTGATCATAGCTCCTGGAACGGCCCCCACTAGACGCCTTGGGCATTGCTGTTGCCTGGGAAGTGGGCTGAAAGCTGGTTTGGAGGAGGCTGGGTTGTGACTCAGGTCCATAGCGTGTCTGCCCAGCATGCAGGAGGCCCACAACTGTGATGCCAGCACTTGGGGAGCAGAGGCAGGGGGATGGGAAATGCAGGGCCCTCCTAGGCCACGAGGCAGTGTGGGCTGGCATGCATGAATGCATGCATCCGGCCTGGAAATCTGGGAGTCTGCACTCCCGGCACAGGCCTGGGGGCCCCAGTTGCAGATGCGTGGATGGCAGCTTTGAGGACAAAGGCGGCGTGATACCTGGAAGGTGACTTGAGCCAAGAAGATGAGTTTGTCCCTCTCAAAGAGCCCACGCGCCGTGTACATGTACACAGAGTAGGTGATCTGGTCTGTCAGGTTGATCACACGCTGCTTCACCTCGTCGGCAGGCATCGTGTTCTGGATGGCTTTCTCGAACACGACGTTGAAGGCCTGGGGAGTGGCCAGTGGGAGCATGGGGGCTCTGCAGCTGTAGCTGCAGCCGCTGGCAGCTTCGGGCTAATTCTGACTGGGGCACCGGGGAGAGGTGGGGTGGAGGGAACTTCTCTAGCATCACAAGTGGGCTTCTCCAGCACCCTCTGGTTCCTGCCATCCCACGTGCTACCTGACCCGGGCTTCCATGGGGGACCTGCACCCTGTGAGGCTGACCTTGAGGGAGATCCTGCACCCAGTGAGGCTGACCTTGAGTGCGAGCCTGCACCCAGTGAGGCTGACCTTGAGGGAGAGCCTGCACCCAGTGAGGCTGACCTTGAGGGAGAGCCTGCACCCAGTGAGGCTGACCTTGAGGGAGAGCCTGCACCCAGTGAGGCTGACCTTGAGGGAGAGCCTGCACCCTGAGGCTGACCTTGAGGGAGAACTGGTAGATGGGGTTGATCTTGTTGAGGTCGTTCAGGATGAAGTAGAGTAGGGAGGCCCGAGCTGCGGCGGGGCGGTAGTTCTCTCGGGCCTCGTTGATCTTCGATTCTGTGATTTTTGCCTCTTGGACCTTGGAACAGACAAATGGGGCGTGGAGGGAACTACCTGGAAGACAAGCCACTCTGTCCCAACTCTTCATTCCTTCCAAGCCCCCCAGAGAGTCTTCAGACAGCCAGGCGCTGGCTCTCCCAGTCTGTTGTCGTGATAAAATATCTTGGCAAAAGTGACTTAGCAGGAGGAAGGGGTTTATCTGGCTCAGGGTTCCAGGCTACAGCCTGTTACTGTGGGGAAGTCAAGGCAGGAACTTAGAGCATCGCATTCAAAACCAAGAGCCGGGAGAGGCAAACGCTTGCTAGTTTGTGCCAATACTCAGCCAGCTTCCTCTTTACCTACACCCTTTGGGACTCTCTGTCTAGGGAATGGTGCCGCCCACAACAGGCTGGGTCTTCCCACATCAGACATGCCCAACAGGCCAACCTGGTCTAGACAATTTCTTGTTATGAGTTTCTTCTCAGGAAATTCTAGGTCGCGTCAGGTTGAAAGTCACAACAAGTCATCACAGGCACCCAGGTGTACTTATGCAGCAGGCTTGCAAGCCTTCTGGGTGCTGGGTGGCCTGAGACGCTGGGCCTACCTTTTCCTCAATCTCACTGGCTGTGTGCTTGGTGGTCTCCAGGTTTTCCACCAAGGCAGTGTCTCCCAGAAAGTTCCCCGACGCAGCCGACAGCCGGGCCAGGAGAGAGTCTTCCAGCTCTTTGAGCACGATCTTGAACTCATTCTGAGATTTGGTGAGGCTTGCCTACAGGGGTGGCAGCGCCCAGGGGCAGAGTGACATTAGCTGGGTGCCGGTCTCACCTCTGCTGCCAGGGCTCTCTAGATGGAGGCACAGCGACACCCAGCAGGGCACCCATGGAAGTGCCAGCCTCCGCTCCGGGCTGCCAGGCCTCTCGCCGTGGAGACGGAGAATCGGGTGTGTGGCTGAGGCGGAGTTGGGGAAGCAGCTGACACACAGTTGGCTATGCATAGCCTTCTTCCTGTGTGCATGTGTGTGTGTTCCTGCATGCACTCATGCCCGCGTGTGCGCATGTATGTGTGAAAGCCAGAGCCTCAGACTCAGTTTGCCTTGTTTGTTAAGATGGAGTTTCTTAATGGGGATCTGGGGCTCGCCCTTTAGGCTAGGCTGTCTGGCCAGAGAGTCTCGGGGACCCTTCCGTCTCTGGTCTCTGCTTCCCCAGCCCTGGGGTTACAAGTATGTGACAGCCTTTTTCTGGGTTTGGGAGCGGGGCCAAACTCAGGTCCTCACGTGTATGCTACAGTTTACTGGGTGGGCCCCGAGTTTTCTTTATGATGCTGAGGCCTGGATCAAGAGTCTCATGCGGGAAGCTGTTCTGGGGACCCGCTTCGACCTCTGGGGTGCTGAGCCCCTGGTGTGAGCGCATGGGCTGTCGATTTGGAACTGGGTTAGGAACTGTGAGGACCGACTGACCGTGCATGCGTGTGGAGCGACCCTCTACCGTCACGGGCACTCACCTTGAGCTGTTCCAGGTCCGGGCGCTCTTTGGCCACCACGGCGGCCAGGAGCTGGTCCTCCAGCCCGTCCCTGGTGACCAGGAAGTTGATGAGCGTACACTGCGCCTGCATCTCGGGTTTGTAGTGGGGGTTGAAGTACTTGGTGTGAAGGATCAGGCGGAAACTGGGGTGGTACTCTACCTCCTTGTCCCCGATCTTAATGAACCTGGCGGGTGAGGAGCACGAGGGGGGGCAAGGTTAGCCCACATGGGCCCCTCTGCGCCCCGGCCTGGTGGCCCACCCACCTCCCCCCACACTCCAGGGGGGCCCGCGGCCACTGGAGGCCATGTCTCTGCCCTTTCCTCTGGTGGCCACTTTGTCTGCACAGGCGTTCATAAGGCTGCCCGCAGCCGGAGCTCATTTCAGCGCCTGGAGGAGCAGCCAGCCCCCTCCCCGTGGTCAGCGCAGAACGCCAGTGTGTGCTAATGTAAATTAAAAAAGCGGCACCAGGGAGAGCTCGTGTGTAGGGTTTTTTATTAGGGAAAAGGGAATGGGAAAAGGGGGGAGGGGTGGGGGAAGGGAAGGGGAAGGGGAGAGGGGAAGACCGGCTTCTGGGGACAGGAGCAGCAGAAGAAAAGAAAGAGGCAGAGAGAGAGAGGGAGGGAGGAAGAGAGAGAGAGAGAGAGAGAGAGAGAGAGAGAGAGAGAGAGAGAGAGAGAGAGAGAGAGAGAGAGAGAGAGAGAGAGAGAGAGAGAGAGAGAGAGAGGAGGAGGATGGGAGGTTGCCTGGGCCCTTTTAAAAGGGAAGGTAGTGAATGTGTACAGGAGGTGCTCTCAGTGGCTGCAGCTGAGGGCGTGTCCTGTCAGAATCCCGGGGGACCGGTGGTACAGATGCCTGAACACTAACACCAATGACCCTCTGCCAAGCACCCCTGGAGCTGCTGCCCCACTGAGGGTCTCTCCTCCTAGACTCTGCTGCCCCACTGAGGGTCTCTCCTCCTAGACTCTGCTGCCCCACTGAGGGTCACTCCTCCTAGACTCTGATGCCCCTTCTTCCCTGGTTGAGCTCACTTCTTGGGGTGGGGGAGAGACCCCCCCCTGCAGTCCTTGGGTGTCAGCGCTCATGTTGGGTCTTTGTCAGACCCTGGGACATCAGGGTGTGCACACCACTCCCGGTCCTGCCTGGGCTTCTGCGCACGCCGGCTGCTGTCTGCGCTAAGAGCTGCTTTACTTTCTTTGCGTTATAAAAACAGCTGAATGTGGCGGACCCGGGGTGGGGGGTGGAGATTGCGCGGTCACGAAGAGGAATATGATAGGACAGATGCTAAAGCAGGGACGGCCCTGGCGGCGACCTTGATGCTAAGCAGAAGGAGAGCCAGGCACAAAGTGGGGTGGCAAGGCCACAGAGACGGAAAGATGCTTAGCAAGTGTGGGTAGCGGGTGTGTGTGGTTTCCTTGTGGGGTGACTAAAATGTGCACCTCGACAGGGTGATGGTCATGCAGCATGGTGAATGTGTTAACCGCCCTTGAGAATGCCAGCTTTACCACATGGCGTTTCTTAGAATGAAAAGTGTGTGTGGGGGGGGAGGGCACACCAGGCAGGCGTGCTGCACGCCTTTAATCCCAGCACTTGGGAGGCAGAGACGGGTGGGTCTGTGAGTTCGAGGCCAGCCTGGTCTACAGAGAGAGTGCCAGGACAGCCAGGGTTGCATAGAGAAGCCTGATCTAAAAAAAACACAACAACAACAACAACAAAAAATGTAGGGGGGGGGCTAACCAGATGACTCAATAGGTAAAAGGACTTTCTGCCAAGGAGCTCAATCCCTGGGACTCACTTGGTAGGATCCAGCTTCCATAAGTTGGCCTTTGACCTGTCCTGTGGCATGTACACAAATACCGCACACACACACACACACACACACACACACACACACACAAAGTAAATAAATGCATGTAAAATATTTTGGAAATTAAAACATTTTGGAAAGGGGAAGAGAGCTCACGAGGCTGTCGCGGCTAATGGCTACTGGGGGAGGAAGGTCACTAGCTCCAGTGTTGTGGTCACGGGTCAAGTTGCCTGTGCTCAGTTAATAGCCCCACGACCATTCTCATGCAAGCAGCCATAATTAAACTTAGGAGGCCATTGAAATTCAAGATATTAAGTAGGGCTGGAGAGACGGCTCAGTGGTTGAGAGCACTGGCTGCTGTTCTAGAGGACCAGGGTTCGATCCCCAGCACCCACATGACAGATCACAACTGCGTACAACTTCAGTTCCAGGGGAGCCGACACCCTCTTTTTTGGCCTCTCAGGCACTAGGAGCACACGTGGTACACAGACATATTTACAGGCCAAACAGCCATGCACGTAACACAGGCACGCACGCAGGCACCGTGCACACACACGCACTCGTGCACACGGCATGAAAAGAGAAGGGGAACGTGTTGGGAAGAGAAAACTGTCCAAAGGGCTTGGGACAAGAGAGGGTAACGGGGGCAGGGATACAGCTGAGAAAGAATTTCCTGAAAGGACTGTTAAGTCTCAACATTTTTCAAGTGCATATGAAAACAGAGAGGCTTAAGGAGCCCACACACCAGCTGGTCCCTCACCCCTGGTGTAGAGCTGGCCTGGCCGTTCTAGTCCCCTCAAGCATTGGGTCCCTTCAGTCTTCTCAGCGTTTAGTGAAGGGAGGCCCTTCACGGCGCTCCCCTGTCCCGGGGCTGCCCCAGGAGAGGTTCACTTTGGGCGGGGCAGCATCTTACCTCCCCTTTTTGATCGTGTTCCTGCCCAGCAACGGGTCGAGCACAGGGTCTACAGTCTCGCCGATGTTCTCAATGAGTAAAGTGTCACCCTCTGAGATGGCCTGCTCAATGATGTCCAGGTAGCTGGGGACACAGTAGAGACAAGGTGTGGCTTAGGGGCCATAGGAAGCAATGCCTGCCCTAGAGGTGGCCCTGGCCGCAGGAGGAAGGAGGTGGTGTCCAGGGAGGTCACCAGGGAGTTAAGCCCAATCCCTCCTTCCTCACTTATCCGTGTGGGCTTGTCGATTGGGGCTTGGGACCTTTGGGTGAGAACCTGGGGGTAGGAGTGGGAGGGGTCTCCAGGCTGCCGAGCCGAACATTTTCCCTGCTCTGTGTGGGCCTGTTCTAGGGCGCCGGGAAGCCGCCTGGCAGCCACGGTCACCCTGGTGCTCATGGTTTTTTGTTTCCCTTGTGGGAGCAGAATTTAAACCACACAAGAGATGAGAGACCAGCCCGGAGACTCCCAGGCCGATGTCAACGGCCAAGAGGACACAGAGAGCCAGGGCCGGTTCCCCTCCCCGGGGAAGGGGAGACGGGAGAAGGGCCTGGTTTGATGCTCTGCTGTTGGGCCGGCATTCATGTTTGAGTGCTCGCAATCCTGTTAGCAGATGGTTGAGTTGGCTGACAGATGCTCAGGGCTCGGGCTGTGTTGGGAGAGCAAGCCCAGGGCTGCTTCCTGGGTCCCCAGCTATCCAATAGACACGAAAGACCCCAGGGCATGTGTGCACATATAGGACTTGGTCATTGCCCAGGTGACACTCACAAGGCCTGAGGTGCATGCGTGCACACACAGACCCAGACGGTCCTGCTGCCTCCCTGGCCCCGCCCGGCACCAGCCGTACCTCTTCTGCCCCAGGCGGATGGCCTTCAGCTCGCCGCCATATTTGTTTTTGATCCACTTGATGCCTTGAAGCTGGGCGTCAACAATGAGCGGCCAGCGCTCTGTGTTGCATAAGATGGTGGCGTTCTCGGTGGACATGCGGTCGCTGGGCAGACCTTGGTTGTTCCAGGAGGCCACGTCGGCATCGTCTGTGAGCAGGGTCAGGGGATCCAGGCCCTCCGTGATGGGGATCGGGACCTGCGAAGGGAGGAACTTCTCTCTCTCTTCTCCTCTCTCTGTCTCTCTTTCCCTCTCTCCCTCCTCTGTGTGTGTGTGTGTGTTTGTGTGTGTGTGTGGTAGCTTGGGCACAGTGGTGCATTTGTAGACAGAGGTCAGAGGACAACTTGGAGGAGTTGGCTCTCTCCTTGCACCTCCTGAGTCCTGGGGATCAAATCCAGGTTTTTAGGGATGGTGGCAAGCTGCCTTAACCCACTAAGCCATTTTGCCAACCCTTTGCCTTTTTTCTTTTAATTATTTTTATTTCTGTATATAGTGCTTTGCCTGCTTGTCTGTGTGCACCAAGTGTAGGTGTGTGTCCTCAGAGGTCAGAAGAGGGCATCAGATTCCCCGGAATTGGAAATATAGGTGGCTGTGAGCTGCCATGTGGGTGCTGGGAACCAAACCCAGGTCCTCTGCAAGAGCAGCGAGTGCTCTCGACCATGGAGCCCTCTCCCTAGGCCCTGCCTTGAGACAGGGTCTCTTACTGAACCTGTTTGGTGAGCCCCGGAACGTTTTCACCCCCACGTTCCTACACCAACACGGGGAGGAGGGGGAGGTTAGGGGTTCTAGGCGCATGATGCCCGGCTTAGGTGCTGGGGATGTAGACTCAGGTCCCATGTCTGCAACAGACACTTTACTGAGACGTCTTCTCACTGCTCGGTTTCCCCCCGTGTCCCCAAATTGGCACTGGCCACATAATTTGAAGATCAAGTTAGAGGAGGAGGCAGCGCTCACCCCTGCTTGCAGAGGAGCTCACTCTGCTTGCAGAAGCAGCCTTGTGACAGGCCAGGAACGCTGTCAGTCCCAGCAGATGAGGCTGGCTGTGCCCCAGTGAGGATGCAGTGTGGCTGTGGCTGCCCTGGGGGGGAGCCCCTGAGTCTCCCCGAGTCATGACCACCCCTGTACTTCCTACCTTTAATTTATCTATGTAGGGGACCCAGAATTTTTCCATCAGCTCATTCCGGTACTTCTTGGTGAAGTAGCCCACGTAGGAGACGAAGGCAGAGATGAGCAGGACGTCCCCGCACAGGGTAACCCCCTGGCTCTTGAAGTTCTCCACTGACTCAGCCCAGCGCACATTTTCCGACGCCAGTCCTCCCACAAGCCTGCAAGAGTCCAAGGAACGGGGGGGAGCGCCTGTGTGAGCCCGAGCGTGGGGCCGGGCCTGAGAGCCGGCCGGTGTGCCCATCTAAGCGGCTGGTCGGCCATTGGACAGACTGCTAAGTGGACTTCTGTGGACTTGCAAGGTGACCTGGGAAATCTGGAGCTAGTAAGTACAATCGTCACCAGTGCCTGCTTAACTCTGAAGTACAAAGCTCTGGAGGAATTCATAGAAAACAAAAAACAGCACGTGTTGGTGACACGGGGGGTTGCTGAATCCTCCCCCCCCGTGTTCTGCCCAGGTCATCGGTGACTACACGCCTTCACTGTGCTGAAGCCACCGTGCTCCGCCCCCGGCACACGTGGCTGGCAGGCACTGGAGTCTGGTTGAGAACATGGTGTCTACGGGACAGTATAGGAGTGGGGTGTGGGGTGCTTCCCAGGCCCCCAGCTGGAGGACTGGTACCCAGTACTAACTGGTGCCCGTGGGTCTGGAAGCGCTGCCCCAGGCTGATACTGTGTGTAAATGCCATAGCTAGCGCCCTGGCTTCCCAGGGACTCAGAGGGTGTTCAGATTTTAACTGATGAGGTCACCTCTCTCAGACAGATGGTGGGGGTGCATCTGTGCCACCACTTAGGGTGGCCTGGGACCTCACACACACACCCCTGCCAGCTCCTGAATCATGCTGACCACTGACTGAATCAATGGCTGCCAGCCACCAGGATGGGAGGAAATAAGAAACCAGGCAGCCATAGAACGGACTCTGCCGCTCCAACCTCAGGGAGCCGGGCTGACCACCGTGCAGGCTGCGAGCCAAGCGCGGTAAGACCTGCGGGGTGGCCGGCCTGTACAGGGTGCCTTCGGGGCCAGGCGGGGTGGGAGCGCACCTGTAATCCCAGCATTTGGGAAGAAGAGTCAGGGGGAATCCCTGCAAGGTGGAGGCCCGCCTTGGCTACACACTGAGACTGTCTCAAAAACAAACAAACAGAGCGGTGGCTGTGGCTCGGTAGGTAGAAACGTGGCCTAGCAAACACAGGGCCCTAGGTTCAATCCCCAGGACTGCAAAAATCAAGTGTGGTGGCACATGCCTGTAACACCAGTGCTTGGAGAGTAGAGGCGGGGGTGTGTGTGTGTCAGAAGTTCAAGGTCACCCTCTGACATGCAGGAAGTTTGGGGCCAGCCTAGGCGACATGAGACCTGGTCTCAGCAGCAGCAGCAGAACCACACTGGATTTCTGGGGCTTGGAGCAACAAGGTAGCTTGATGGTAGTTCTCCACTGACCACGTGTGGGTGTGGCAACGTTTTTTGGATACTGGACGTGAAATCGGTTCCTCTCACACGGCTGCACCTTCCGGTGGGGCCTGCCTGAGTGTGCAAAGCACAGGCTCGGGCCGTATTTGTTCCTGGGACCAGCACTGCCCCACCATCCAAACCCACGGCAGTGCGTAACCGTCCAAAAGCGAGTGTGCTCAGACTGCAAAGCGGGCTGTGAGACGTGTGTGTGTGTGTGTGTGTGTGTGTGGCCCGCGGAGACCTCTGCGAGAGTGGCTTGTGGGACAGAGCTACGGTCCCTGGAGGAAACAGGGCGTCTGTCCCCGACACAGCGGGCTCTGCCCTCGTCAGCCGCCCAAACCGCTGACCCTGTTAATACCCGGTTACAGAGTGGGGGTGGTGGTGGGAGAGATCAGGAGTTGTGGGGACTCCAGTGATGTCCTGAGTGAGTGTGTGTTGGTAACATGCCGTTAACACAGACACGGCCATTTGCGACTAGTGCTCCAGCCCCACCCCCCCATCCTCCCACTCCCGGGTGAGCGGGGCGGGGACTTCGGTGAAGCTCTCCTCGGGTGCAGGTGTGAACGCTGACAGTGTGCACGGAGGTCGTCCGCAGCAGCTGTCTGTGCCCTCCTTGCATAGTTACGGCCTGAAGACCAGTTCAAGCCGAGGTGCAGTGTGGTGTCCCTGGGAGGCCTGGACATCGTCCCCCAAAGGACAGCAAGGACAGGTGCTGCCCGAGAGCAGGTGGCTCTGGACGGTGCCCTGGGCGGGCCTGAGCTAACTGGGAGCTCTGCCTTCAGAGAGCATGCCCGGGAGACAGGAGGAGCGGCCACGGCAAGGACCCACCTGTTAGCCAGTGAGATCACCCTGTTGGTGGCGTCGGCCTCTTGCTGACACTTGATTTTCTCAGCCGTGGCTTTCTCAAAGGCTGAGGTCAAGTTGCTCAGGTTGGCGTTGAGTTCCTGAAGAAGGATCAAGTTGGGACATGTCCCAGAAAACTCAGGGCCTGAAGGCCCGAGCGTCCCTGACAACCCCCCGCACTCCCCCCCCCGCACAGTCTATGGCACCACCCTCTGCCGTGCCATTTAATGGCTGCGGGCTGCGCCAAGGGGCTTTCAGCAGAGACACTGGCGGCGTGGGAGGCGTGGGCCTCACAGCACTTACTGCAATCTTGTTCTTGATCCGGGACAGCTTCTCCTGCGCCTCGGCCAGCTCGGCGTTGGCCTCCTCCAGGGCCTGCCTCTTGGGGGCCACGTCACAGTACACCTCGTAGAAGCGCACGATGTTGATGCACCAGGAGCACAGGCCGGCCGCAGCCGTGGACTTGGAGCGAATGAACTCGGGGTCGAAGGTGGGGTTGCCTTGGTAGGGCCTGGAAGGAAGCCATGGCTGCTGAGCAGGGCTAAGACAGGATGCACAGGACGCACAGGACGCACAGGACGCACAGGACGCACAGGCCCCATCTGTCCCCACTCCCCATCCTGGCTCTGCATCCCAGGCCACCGTAGCCATGGCTACAGAAGCCGCACTGGGAAATACTAAGTATTTCTTCTTTCTTTTTTCGTCTCTGTGGTGTGTGTGTGTAGGCACCTGTGTGTGTGTGTGTGTGTGTGTGTGTGTCTGTGTGTAGGCACCTGTGTGTGCGCACAGGTCAGAGGTCAACTTCAGGGGTTGTGCATTGCTCCTGACACAGAGCCTCTAGTCGCCCTGTAAGGCTGGCTGATCAGTGAATTGGGACCCCCCCCCGCCACCCCACCCCCTGGCTGCGCCTCCCCAGGGCAGGGATTACAGGCACACCCACCACGCATGGCTTTTTATTTCCGTCCTGGGACCAGACTCGGGTCGGCGTGTTTGTGTAGCGAGCACTATACCTAGGGGGCGGCCACCCTCATGCCCTCTCCTTTATTGAGCCCTTCAACGGCTCCAAAACTAGGAAGACTGCAAGACAAAGGTTCGGCCTCTGCCCTTGTGGCAATGTCTCGGCAGGTAAAAATCACTTGCTAGGTGGCTGGGTTTGGTATGTAGAGCTCCTGTGAGAGCCAGACATGGTGGCAGACACCTGCAGTCCCAACCCTCCCACCATGACATGGGAGGCAGAGACAGGAGAAGCTTCTAGCCTCGTGGGCCAGCTGGCCTGGAGTACGCACAGAGCAGGGGGGAGCGAGAGAGAGGCCTGCCTCTCAAGCTGAGAGGAGGGAGTCAACTCCCAAAGTCACCCTCTGATCCCCATGTGTGCCCTGTGGTGCCCGTACACCTGCCTGGTCTCTCTTCCCCCTCCCCAGCTTCTATAAATGCACATTAGAAAAATTGGCCTGTCAGGCTGGAGAGACGGCTCAGAGGTTAAGAGCACTGGCTGCTCTTCCAGAGGACCTGAGTTCAATTCCCACATGGTGGCTCACAACCATCTGCAATGAGACCTGGTGCCCTCTTCTGACCTGCAGTAAGAACAGTGTGTACATAATAAATAAATCTTCAAAAAAATTGGCCTGTCAAACAGATTTTGGGGTATGTTTTTCTCCTTTGTTCCTGGTGCCCCATACAGCTAATCTCATTCTAACTCGCCAGGGACACCATTAATAGGCGAGAAGACTGACACAGTCACCTGTCCGTCATCGTAGCGCTGAGAGGAAGTGACGGGATGGGACGGGCACTCTCGGGGGGGAGCCCGTGGCCTGTCCCACCAACGGAGGGCTGTGCAACAGGCTTGCTGCTGCCTCGGCCCGAGTCTGGCTTAGACATGGGGAGGAAGAGATGTACACAGGGAAGTACTCACGCAGACGCTCGGGAGTGGCCACGAAAATTCTACTTTACAGCAATAGGATACCATGGGCTGGGTGGGGTGGCGCACGCCTTTCAGCCCCAGCACTACAGACGCAGGGACAGGCGGATCTCTGTGAGTTCAGGACCAGCCTGGTCTACATGGCAAGTTCCAGGACAGCTATGCAAATGCGGGGCACGGTAGGCGTGGCCGTGCACGTCTGTAGTGCCCGCGGTGGGAGCGGGGCACGGAGGCGGAAGGATTTCTGGAGCTCGCTGGCCAGCTGTACTCTCAGAATCCATGACCTACAGGTTCAGTGAGAGGCCTTGTCTCAAAAGTATGTTGGCCAACAATCGAGAAAGACATACAGGGTTGGCCTCTGGCCTCCCTAGGGCCATGTGTTTGAAACGTGTGGATCTCACACATCAGAACCCCAGGGACTACTCAAGAAGTGGTTAGCCTACATGCCTGTGCGTATGACAGGAACATGTTGGGTGGGTGCAGGCATGCATGTGTGTTATATTTATGTGTGGTGTGTGTGTGATCATGTGTGATCATGTGTGATCAGCCACTCTGGTAGGGACAGACCGTGGCCCCGGGTTGTCCCCTGTCCACCTGTCAGCTCTGCATGGGTGATGGGGGGCGTCCTTCTGTATATAGGTTTCTCTTATTGGTTGATGAATAAAACACTGACCAATAGAGGCAGGGAGATAGGCGGGACTAGGAGACAAGGAGAATTCTGGGAAAGATAGGGAGAGAGAGAGAGAGAGAGAGAGAGAGAAGAGAGAGAGAGAGAGAGAGAGAGAGAGAGAGAGAGAGAGAGAGAGGGAGAGAGAGACCAGGGGGATGTCGTGGAGGGAGTGGTTGGGTAGGACGCGCCAGGCGTTCTATGGTAAGATTAGGCCATGCAGACATACGTACATTAGTAGTCATGGGTTAATAATTAAGGCAGAGCTAGCCAGTAAGAAGCCCTAGCTGTCGACCAACAGTTTTATAATTAATGTAGCGTCTCTTGTGTGTTCATTTTGGGGTTGAAGCAGCGGGACCTGGCGGGACGAGATAGACTACCAGCAACACGTGGGAGAAACCGGGGTCTAGATGTGCGGGTTCAGGCCTTCCTATCTAACCCCCGTTCCCTTCCCAGGGGGGAGACAGGGGTGGCCAGGCTCCCTGGAGAGAGGGCCCCTTGGCCTTGGCCTTCCCACCTCAGCTCCGGGGCGCCGGAGGTGCAGCTCAGCCCTGCCCTAGGCTTACTTGAAAGCCTTCAGGCAGGCCTCGGGGATGTGTTCCTTGTCGAACCTCTTCAGAGAGTCCAGAAACGTGTCCACCTTGCCCATCATGATCTTCGCAGCCTTCCAGCTTTTGTCCTTGGGGATCTTGCCCCCAGGCGCCGTCAGGATCATGACGGCAGCTGTGACGTTGACCACAGCGTCTGGTGGGGAGCCGAAGGACTTCAGCTCAGTCAGGTTGTTCTATGGGGGACAAGCGCACCGAGTGTCACCACGGACCCTGCTTGGCCACCCCTGCTCCTTTATGTTTTTGTTTTTTCCCCGTTTCCGCGTCCTCTGTCACCTTGTTCAAAGTATCTAGGGCCTCTTGTGCAGCTACCAGGGCTGGCTCTGCCTTGGCCAGGTCTGTTTCACAGGCCTTCTGTTTCTCAGTGACGTTCTAGAAGGGAGGCAGACAGGAGAGGCTCAGTGTGGGCTGTTCAGACGTCCACGCACGCACACATCCATCCCCCACACCAGCCCGCCCGACAAGGGCAGGCAGGGGGATCTGAGAATGAGGCTCGGCCGTAGCCGGCAGTTGTGAGTTCCCGCCCCGGGTCGGTTGTCTGTGTTGTGTCTCTGTGTGTGTGCGCGCTCACTCACAAGACCCGTCTCTCTCTTGCCTCGGCTCCTTGGCCCCTGCCTCTTGCTCGCAGGAGAGGCCAGCCAGGTGCTGAGGGACATGGGATGCTCAGCTGGGATTGGGCGCCTCTGTCGGCTCCGGCTTCCAGGACTGAAGGGAAACTCCATCCCTTCCCCTCCCTTGTCACTCTGAGGCCACATTGTGCCATCCTTCCAAAACAGAGCCTTTTGGGGACATGTCACCCAACCCGCTCATTCACGCAAGTGAGCATCCAACTCGTAGGTGCACGCAAGCACTCATAAACTCACGGGGCGGGGGCGAGGGGGCATGGCAGTGCTCGCCCACTTATGCACGCAAGTGCATATCAGCATTCACTCATTCAGACAGTCAGTCAGTCAGTCAGTCAGTCACTCAGTCAGTCACTCACTCACTCAGTCACTCAGTCAGTCACTCAGTCAGTCACTCAGTCACTCAGTCAGTCACTCAGTCACCCAGTCACTCAGTCAGTCAGTCAGTCAGTCAGTCAGTCAGTCAGTCAGTCAGTCAGTCACTCAGTCACTCAGTCAGTCACTCACTCAGTCAGTCAGTCAGTCAGTCAGTCACTCAGTCACTCAGTCAGTTACTCAGTCACTCAGTCAGTCACTCAGTCAGTCAGTCAGTCACTCAGTCACTCAGTCACTCAGTCACTCAGTCACTCAGTCACTCACTCAGTCAGTCAGTCAGTCAGTCAGTCACTCAGTCACTCACTCACTCACTCAGTCACTCAGTCAGTCAGTCAGTCACTCAGTCACTCACTCACTCAGTCACTCAGTCAGTCAGTCACTCAGTCAGTCAGTCAGTCAGTCAGTCACTCAGTCACTCAGTCAGTCACTCAGTCAGTCACTCAGTCAGTCAGTCAGTCAGTCAGTCAGTCACTCAGTCAGTCAGTCAGTCAGTCAGTCAGTCAGTCACTCAGTCACTCACTCAGTCAGTCAGTCAGTCAGTCAGTCAGTCACTCAGTCACTCAGTCACTCACTCAGTCAGTCACTCAGTCACTCAGTCAGTCAGTCACTCACTCAATCAGTCAGTCAGTCAGTCACTCAGTCACTCAGTCAGTCAGTCAGTCACTCAGTCACTCACTCACTCAGTCAGTCAGTCAGTCAGTCACTCACTCACTCAGTCAGTCAGTCAGTCACTCAGTCACTCAGTCACTCACTGAGTCAGTCACTCGGTCACTCACTCAGTCAGTCACTCAGTCACTCAGTCAGTCAGTCAGTCAGTCACTCAGTCACTCACTCAGTCAGTCAGTCAGTCACTCAGTCACTCAGTCACTCACTCAGTCAGTCACTCAGTCAGTCAGTCACTCAGTCAGTCACTCAGTCAGTCAGTCAGTCACTCAGTCAGTCAGTCACTCAGTCACTCAGTCACTCACTCACTCACTCAGTCACTCAGTCGGTCAGTCAGTCAGTCAGTCAGTCAGTCAGTCAGTCACTCACTCAGTCACTCAGTCAGTCACTCAGTCACTCAGTCAGTCACTCAGTCACTCAGTCACTCAGTCAGTCAGTCAGTCAGTCAGTCACTCAGTCAGTCACTCAGTCATTCAGTCACTCAGTCAGTCAGTCAGTCAGTCAGTCACTCAGTCACTCACTCACTCAGTCACTCAGTCAGTCAGTCAGTCAGTCAGTCAGTCAGTCAGTCACTCAGTCAGTCAGTCAGTCACTCACTCAGTCACTCAGTCACTCAGTCACTCAGTGAGTCAGTCAGTCAGTCACTCAGTCACTCAGTCAGTCACTCAGTCACTCAGTCAGTCACTCAGTCAGTCAGTCACTCAGTCACTCAGTCACTCAGTCAGTCACTCAGTCACTCAGTCAGTCAGTCAGTCAGTCAGTCACTCAGTCACTCAGTCACTCACTCAGTCAGTCACTCAGTCACTCAGTCA